TTACCAGCCCTTTATGAACAAACAAAAGCTGCTGTTGTGCACAACTTCTGTTGTAGCTCCGAGGACGGACTGATGGACGGCTCTAGAGCTACAGAGAGGTACTTAACAGAGATCACATCACTCCTAACAGGGACATGGTATGTTCTGCAAACTCTTCCCATATGTAACCAGCACACAAGCTGGCAGGGGCACTTGAGGAGACAGTGTTGGAGTGGAACTTAAATAGGCAAGGACTTACAATCCCTGTCAACACTAGAAATATTGTGAACGTGGTGAATGAAGCCTCTGTGTAAAATTGCAAAGAATTTGGGGATTTCATCATTTACAGTTCATAATATCACTAAAGGATTTAGAGAATCAGGAGAAATCTCTGCGCTAAAAGGACAAGGCTGAAAACCAATACTTAATGCCACGATCTACAGACCCTCGGGCAACACTGAACTAAAAACAGACATGACTTTGTAGTGGAAGTCACTGCACGGCTCAATATGGAAACCATTTTCTTTGAATAGAGTTCATCTCCTCAACTGTTCGGGTCAGAGCTGTACATGCAAAGAAGAGACTATACAGAGATGATCCAGACATGCCAGAAACTTCTCAGGACCTAGGCCCATTCAGTGTGGGCTGTGTTGACACGGAATTCTGTCTTATGATCTGAAGGATGAAAACATGACAGTAAGGAACCATAGACACCACATCCTCAATTCCGAAGAAGTAAGAGACCAGCCGGCTTGCTATTAGCCAATGTTTCAAAAGCCAGCAGCCAGCTGATGGAATGGGAGTGTAATGCAACGACAAAGCTCAACAGTAGAAGTTTGACCGCTTAATTGGCAGTCCTGACTTGTGGTTGTACAGACAGAAGTTGTTTGACATAAGTTTCTGCTCAGTTAAAAGTGTAAGATTTTTGTGTGTACTTCTGTATGCATGTATGTTCATGTAAAGGTGCGTATTGGGCTGGTGAACAGAAGAACACGAGACAGGTCAGTGCTCATCCTATGACGTGTGTGTGGCCTGCAGCTTCTTGGCTATGCCTCTGCAACCAGGATAATGAGCGAGCAACCCCCTGCTAGGAGCCATAAATGGCTCAGAGCAACATTACCCACCATATGATATGAACACATTTTTACTTGGTCACATTTCAGGAACAGAAACTTTACAGGAAATTTGATATTTTCTAGTTTTGCACTAGATAGCCTGTAGTTATTATTTTAATCAAAGAGCAGACTTTTGTGGAAACAGTAGTTAAGATATATCTCTACTTGGAAAGAAAGTTTAGGGTTTCACTGAATCAACCATTTTAGAAAATGGTTGATTCTGAAAACACCAAAAGAGGGTGAAAGTGATGGCAAATTTAGATCAGTAAAATATGAATTATGTAAGGGTTGATTTATAGTAAGCTGGTGGTTGTACCAAATAGAATTCTGGGTAAGGCAAGGCAGAGGAGTCTTTTCCACTCTGAGAAGTATACATTAATTATACCCTGTTTCCCTGTTCATTTCCCAGCTATACATAAATATAGATAATTATTGTATTTAACACATTTTTTATTTAAATGAATATACAAACAAATTGGCACTACGCATCAATCTAAAGAGGATTTTATCAATTTAAAAGTGGTTTGCTTAAGCAGATAAATACTCCCACAGTTTCAACTGTTAAGACCCTTCTGTGGCAACAGTTTTCTTAACAGACTTTTTCAGGTCAAATAGCATCAAACTTCAGAATTTAAGTTACAGCAATTGAAAGTACACACATTTTTCAGTGGGCACTCTTAACACACTGTATGAAAAAAATAACAGCAGCGCCTGTGTAATAGAGAATAGTCTCTGTGATCCATCATGCCGTAGGTACCTCTGGATCGCTGCAGCAGACATTTTGCAGCCGTGGACCCGCCTGTTCTTTGGCTGCTCCAGCTACGTGCATCAGTTTCTTTTCACACACCTGATCCTGTTAAGGCTCATTTATGCTCACCATACTTATGAAAATGTATGCGACTGTTTTAAACGATGGTTCCGTCACTGCCCACATACTTCCATGCGTCCTTTACGTTGGCATGGATGTTAACCATTACATCCAGCAGGGAGCAGGCCGGAGTCAAAAGTTTCTGACAACAATAAACAAAAAGAAACTATGCGACTGTGGAGGAGCTAGTGATAACGTATATTTTGCACAGGAGACAGAAACGGAGGCAGCGTTGGAGTAGGTGGTGGTCTGTTAGGTGACTGAATGCCTTGCGGTTAGAGGACCGAAAATTCTTTTCTCTAGTAGTACCAATGAGAGAAATTGACCATTATCGTCATTTTCAGCCCCGCTATTGTCTTCTTTGTTTCTCTCTAGAGATACGTATCGGATAGTGACAGCAGCAACACTGCCCCCACGGTTTCCAGTGGTACTGTTCTGTCTGGCCCGTATCTGTAAACTTCAAGGATACATGCAGAAATACGGACGAAAAGAACGGGAAGCATAGACAGAGAGCTCCGTCTGTATCTGGATTCGTATGTAATGTTGAGCATAAACGAGCCTTTGCACTGTTGTTGTTTGTGGTTGCTTCATGTTTGTTTTCTTCAGTTTGGTTAACATCCCTTTACTCAGTGCTTGTCTCACGTCCTCTTTCCAAAGTTTCGCACACTCCCAATTTTTTCTTTTGTCACAATAAAGTATTCATCAGGAGGAGGAGTTCTCACAAATAGTACATTGGATGTGGCACACCTCCTTTCTTTGAATTGATTTAATGTGCAATGTGCATGAGATCGGGTCATACCAAATGACACCTCGGCTCAGTTATGAAATACAATAACAGTTGAATCTGCTCTAACACAAATTCAAGCCCTTTTTTCATTACATTACAAATACAGTTTTCCTAAACTGAATTAGTGTCAACGTGTCAAAGCTTCACACTATAACAAGTCCTCTCATCCACTTGGCCACATAACAAGTGACCACACTGACCAAAGCAAATGGAAGCTTGTGGTTGTAACTGGCCCTGTTGTCGCACCAACACAGGGCACACTTCTAAGCACACTCGCTCCTCTGTGTGAAGCTCTATCCATCACAAGGCCAAGACAGGACAGAAGACCATGGGAAATGAAGCATGGCTAATTCTATTAGCAACGGGACACAAACAATCTGTGAGGAATCAAAGAAGAACGAAGCACAATCCCAGTAGACCCACTTCCTGCGGCACAAGCCTGAGCAGTTCACAGTGATCGGGCAAAATGTACAAATTCCTGCACACCAATTTTCCAAATGCACAAATGCTCATTTTGCCCGTGGTTTCATGTGATGAGTTTGAAGTCGTTAGTATTTGCAATCTATCACAGTAGTATCTATTGACCTTTCTCAATTTATTTTTCCTCTCTAGTTTTTCCACCTAGTCTTTTGATTCTTTCTTTCTCCTTCTTTCTTTCATTCATTCATTCATTCTTTCTTTCTTTCTCTTTCTTTCTTTCTTTCTTTGAGTCTGTTTTCCTTTGCTGTGAGCGGGTCTATGGGGAAAGACCAGGCACAAAGCTCTCTCGCTGAGGGACCCTTATGGGACAAAGCTGGCTTTCTGGGCTTTCTGCATATATGCATGCCATGCAGACAATGAGGCCTTTATTAGAGTAGCCAGCATCTCCGAGGCCGGAGCGGCGGGGATGAGGGATGGGGTCCGGGAAAAGCTGTGACTGACACTGGGGTGCTGGTGTGAGTGCGGATCCACTTCCCACCTCATGCCCGTGCTTGCATGTGTGTCTCAGAGGTGTGAAGTGGATGCTCTTACCCTTACTTCTCCAGTCAGCTAATCAATCTCTGCCCATCTGAGGCTTATCCTCAGAGGCAGTTCTTTTTTGCCATATGGTGTCACATAGTGGAAACATGGAAAACACAAGAGCTTGATGGAAACTCCTGCCTCCTGTCGTCATACATCTGCATATAAAGCAGGCAAAACAACATGCTATGGCCTGTAGCTGCAATCAGAAAACTGCTTTAAGCAAACCCTCAGACATTGGTCTCTGTGCACTTGACTAACTTTACAATGCAGAAATCAGGCTGCTAGACTGAGTGTGTGTGTGTGTGTGTGTGTGTGTGTGTGTGTGTGTGTGTGTTGTGCAGAGAGAGGACGCTCTGTAACTCAGTCATGCGTGAAGAGGATTTTCTGTTCAATAGGGGCTGCACACTTGCATACTTGCATTCTAATGACTCCATGTGCATAATCATACAATCAAGCACACATGCAACACAAGCATGAGTGTGTGCGCACGTGCACACTCGTGTGTACACACCGCTGACTGTCACTGTTTCTGTCCTCACGGTGAAAAAATAGGGGAAAATGGGGAGAGAGAGTGACAGCTTACTTGCAGGAAATAGAGTGTATGTGTGCGCGCGTGTGTGTGTATGTGTGTGTTATACATCATGTTAGTGTGATGTACGATAAAGGCTTTGGAGGTATGCTAGCAGTTATGGCTTTAAGTGAGTTTAGGTTTGGATGTGCTTTACTGAGCCATGCAGCAAGTACTTTTTAATTTGTCCGAACAAGCCGAGGCATGGACAGCATTTTTAGTGCTGCTCAGATTTTCTCTGCTGCTGACATCACCAAGTGAAATAGTGTATTAAAACATTGATGGAGCTACAGAAACTCTGTCGATTTCACTGTTTGTTTTGTACTCGTTCACAAGGACAGCTGGATGCATGTGTTCTCCGCCTCATTCTGCAACTTCAACTTTCATCTGGGATCATCTCTCTCTTTTTTGTCTCTTTCTCTTTCTCTCATCTCCCTTTCCTCTCCTCACCCTTTCAAGCAGGAGTTGTTGCTCAGAGTGGTGAACATGTGCTAAGGGGGGGGGTGAATGGCTAAGTTTTCTTTTTATCCAATAAAAATGTCTTCTTGCCAGATCGATTGTTGTTGCTAGGAGACTGAAGCATCCTTTGGCAAGGGGCTACAGCTCTCCACGTCTGTTGTTTCCCTCCCCATCTCTCTCTCCCTCTCTCTCTCACACACACATTCTCTCAGTCACTCTCTCACACGTGTACGCGCGCGTACACGCACATACACACACCCCATAGGCACATCCACGGTGCTGGCGCGCAGAGCTGTGGCGCCCATCCTATCTCTCAGTGCGACTCCTCGGAGGGATCAGGAGTAGACTAAGTCAAACTTCCAGCAGCTGAAGATTTGTGCGCAACATCCGACTGATCCAAGTCGTCAAGGTAGGTCACACACAGCCTAGTCCTTTCTGTTAGGAAGATGTGTTGCAGTGTAAGATTTCGGGTCAGGCGATAGAGTGCAGTGGAGAAAAAAATTGTCAGTCCGGGATCGTTCGAGCGCGCAGGAGGCATCCTTCAGTGGGGAACTATTTGCTTTGAACTTTGCGCAGGATTTCAACACCTAGTTGCTCCGCATGCATGCCATTCATGTGCGATCCTTTTCCCCCCATATCCACCTACTACTGATCGCGGGCTGTGATAAAGATGGTTGCTTATCTCTGCAGCAGATCTATGTTAAAGATACAGAAGGTGAAACAAAGAGTATCTGCAGTTGCGTATTTGACGCTGCGTGCAGAAGTTATTTGGGCTCAGACAGACCGCACCAAAGCAAGTCCTGCGGTTTTAAAGCTCCCTGAAGAAGATGGGCGGATAGTGCGTCTGTGCAAACAGGCATACAGGTGGATCTGATAACGGTCTCTGCTCACTGTTTATCAGAGAGATGACTTTCCCTACACTCCACACCTTGCGCCAGGGACAGGCGTGCGGAGCTGTGTGAAAGGTACAGCATGAGCAGAATGTCTTTGTGAACATCAGATGCGACGTACTCAGACTTTGGACACAAGAGTGTTGGTGTTGCTGCTGCACTTTCAGATCTCCACTCCGGCTGCCGATCTTCAAGGAGTGGTAGATCGTGGATTTAGTTAATGGCTGAACATGTTACTCAAAATGAGCCAGGTTTGACTCCTTAACTTAAATAAGGTCCTCTAATTGAGGAACTTTGGGCAGATGTGGCTTTTTGACAGTCAAGTGGAGTTTTTGGGTACATGGTTTTAATTTATTTCCTCTAATTAATTATGAAATCCATTTTCTTTTATGTATTAGTGGATTTAGATGATGTATACATGATGTTGGGACACCATATTTCATAATGGACTCATAATGAAGTATTCAAACCAGCCAATGGACAAAGAGCTTTGTGTAAACAACTTAATAACCTTTCCCAGTCTCTTCAAAAATATATAAACTTTATACTCTAGAATTCTTCTGTAACTCAAAGATTGTGTCTACATTTGAGTCGAGGCAAATATTGAAAAGATTTAACAGAAACTACGATACTGTTTCTTTCTCTGTGATGTCTACAGCTGTGTTGAATCAACACCAAGAAATAGCCTCTCTGGTGCAAGAATAACAAGAATTTTAAATGGGCTCTAAGTCTTTGTGTGCTCTTTCACAGAGAAGTGAGGGGTAGGACAGTGCACTGCCTGCTAATGCTTGGACGGCTTAGTCCTATAGCGACATGAAAATAACCTTGGTAATGTTAATAAGTGATAATACGTAACAGTGTCGTTTTTGTGGGCTAGGAAAAATATAACACTGAGCGTGACCATTTTGATTCTACTCAGATATTTTGTTTACAGTGCACCTGCATAAAAATGTAACTTGCTTTCCATTGTTATATTTATGTTACGTTGATTTTACACTATTTTTATATGTAACATTAAAATGTCTTTTTCTTTTGCCTTAATGTTACCATGCTCCTTATCTGTGCATGTGTATTTTTAGCTTTGTTTTTGTGTATTTTGTGGTGTCACACATGTTCATAATACACTTTGTACCTTTAGGAATTGCGTACACTTGTGTATTTATATGTGCGTGTGTTATAGTGAAATTTGTGTGGGACTCAGGGGAAGATTGTCCATCAGTGAATAGATCCAGCCTTGAGTTTCTGTATTTCTGTGCTGGTAAATATGCTAACATGAGCCTGTGTGTGTGTGTGAGTGTGTGTGTGTGTGTGTGTTTGTGTGTTCATATGGCCTTGTAGCCCCCACACAGAAACACTCACAGGAGTGCATGCAGCACAGAGGCTTGTCTCAGCTCAGTGCATGGATAAAGGAAGCACCTTCACCAGTGAGGTCCTCTAGTTTCATTGGTAACGTGTAGGTGTTAGACTGTTCTGTGACAGATTTTTGAAGAACAGGCAGTTCTTACTGAACTATCAGGATTTTCTTGAGAGCGATAGATTTTATCTGTGTAAAAAAGTGTTGATAAATCGTATAACTTCAAATGTAAAGCTTCTCCAAAGAGATCCAGGTGATGTAAGGTAGCATCAAAATATCACACATCAAAAACTAAAATCACAAATTTAAATCACTGAGCCAGAAGGTTCAGAGAGGGAAAAATAATCCTTGAATAATCCTGTAAAATAACAATCTTTGCAGCATGTTTCAAGGCAAAGCAGCTGAACAGACCCATGTTATTCTGCCCAAAACCTCATCCGTTTGGCATACTCAGTAGCTGTATTCCTGAACACTGGGAGAATTCATATCAGTCTCAATAAATCTTAACAGTGAATTGTTTCCTGTTTGAAAAATTCAACCAAAATCATACATCTCCATCCGTTCATGTTTTGCCTCTCATCCAGATGTTTTGAGATGCTCTCCTCATATTCAAACACACCTGTTCATACTGAACATATGGAGGGAGACAGAGGTGTGTTTGACTTTTTGTTTGCATCACTAAAGATGTCTACAACTTTATTACTCAGCATATGAAAAGACAACAAACAAGTGATCTAAGCTGCAAAGAGGCTTTCTGAGATCGTCGATTTAAAGGCACGACTGACTGAACTAACAGGAAGGCATCCTGCAAGGTTCGCTTCGGGTTGGTTGACCAAATATTCGGTTAAGACAACATTTCCAACATGACGTCTGCCACAGGTTGCCTTCAGAGACAAACATTCTGATGGCGTGATTTACACGCTGACGTGACTGTGATGTCATACCACTGGGATCTCCAAAGTCGGACAGTGTCAGATTACGTATGGAGTGGAGCTCTTGAATACTATGTATGCCACAGTATGTGTAAATATGCTGGTACATATATCATAAATATTACATTATAGAAACTTAGGGAACATTGACTTCAGTAAATAATAAAAACGTAAATATCAACAGACACTTATTAAAACATATTTCTTACTTTAGAAAATCTGCAGCCGCATGAGTTGTTATCTTTGAACACTGATTGTGAATGATTGGTGTTTTCTCTGGGCCCCGGTTCACAAACATTATCCATCTTCAGTGTATCTCAGCGTGCCTCTGTGAATACATTCAACAGGTGCTCCTTCAGGTTGCTCTCCATGGTGCTGAACTTGTGTCAAAGTGATTTCACTGGTTTAACTCTTTGTGAACTGTTTCCACATTTTAATAATAAACAATAACTATAAATCAAAGTATTATATGCTTAAAGCCATCCTTACAGCTTAAATGAAAGAAGTGTTTCACTCTGTCCAATAAGTTTGTCTGTTTCTGGTTTCAGGAGATGGAGACATGGGATCCAAACACAGTGAAGTCAAGAGGAGTCTAGCACACTAATACTACAGGTCAGAAGCCTTTATAGTTTTTTCATGATTCTCTGTTTAGTCATAATCATCAGGCAAGTTTTAAGGGCTCTCTTTCTTGTTTTTTTCTGGCCACAGCATTGGTAGCTTTTTTTTTTCAGTTCACCTCAGTGACATAAAGGGATGGCTAGTTTGTTGCTGTGTAAAAGATAACTCCATTAAATGCTCACTTTCCCTTCCACTGATATTCAGTATGGGGCCATTATTATTACCTGCAAGTTAACAGTACATAGCAGGGTGTTGTCTGTGGTAGCTATCCTGCAAAACATATACCCCTAACAGTGACTTGAACAGTGAAGTAATAAAACCATAAAGCTGCTGGAAGTGTGTAGCAATATTTTCACCAAAACTACAATAAAACTGACAATTTAGACCCAAACTAATGTCAAATAATGGGACTTTTATTGTGTTCTTGAATGTTTCCTTAAGTTCTTGGCTTCCCAATTTTTTTCTAATTACCACTAATACCCACACTGTGTGATTCTTGCACTGTTAGCTTTAGTGAGGAAGCTGGAAACAAATCATTGCTGCTTCCCTGCAGGTCACCCGTCATCAGCAGCAACAACAGGGTCAACACAAAATGAGCAACGTGCACACACGTGTCAAGGCTGCCTTGTCTGTTCCCTGACATCCATCCTTCCCCAAATGCACAGACATTTCCACATTCACACACATTACACACACACACACACATACACTCTGGGGAAGAAGAAGGGAAAGGGCAGTGGGATGTACAGCTGTGATGGTGTCTCAGAGAAAGATCAGACTCTTTAATAAATGATGAGCTTGAGGAGGAAGCTGTATGTGTGCGTGCGTGTGTGTGAATGGAGAGTGAAAGGTGGCTTACTGGTCATGGAGTGGCTACCGTCAATAGAAGTGTTACCACCAGAACTCCAATTAAACAGTGATACTTAATGTCTGTATAATGATCGATCTGTCATTTTTTTAATGACGAAAATTTGCACTGATTTGATAAATCGGGAGAAATATCTTCTCATCCAAAATTTTGCTTCCTCAATGTAACGCTATCCAGGATGTTTGGGAAGCCCAGTCTAAAAATAGAAATGCTCCAGCTAGAACACAAAGTACGAGTGCTGTTGCATTACCATATGTCCTGTTGATTGGTGCAAGTGGTGGGACTCTTCTCCTTTTTTAGAAAGTTGAACTCCAGCCCATCATGCTACTGGTTCATCACTAAACATCAAACACTGAAAAGGTCTGCATCATCATCCCAGCAGTGTTAAAGGTCAACAGTGTTATGTGCTGAATTATTTTTTCCGTTGCGGTTTAACATCCGATGATTGTTGCACTAATTATTAAATGAATGTGTTTGTTTTTGAGTCTTAACAATTCACATGGCTCACCACACAAGGGATTACATGACTCAATGTTTCCAGTACAAATAAAGCGGCTTCCACTTCATATTCAGACAGAAAAACAAACCATCCCTATTTCAACATATGCTCTTGATCAAAAGGGAAAAGGGAACGTGTTTCACATTATGAAAATAATTTGCTTTAAATATACCATATAATGACAATGCCAGGCTTTCTGTCACACTGTGACTTCACATAATTTACATGCTTATATTAGAGGCACAAGAGCTGTGTCAGTGTTTCTCCACTGTTGCATCAGGTATAGTAACTACTCTGGAAATTCACTTCTGATGCAAAAGTTGAACCCTCACACACCGACCACACAGCTTTGCTTCGCTCACTGCTGTGTGGGCATCTGCCACACTCCCATGAACTACACATCAGCTGTGAGTGTCAGTGTGAGATAATCAATTAACGATAGTGTGTACGGGGTTCTGCATGGAAAAAAATACAGCACTGGTCAGGGCTTTTCTTTTTTTTCAATGCAAACCTTTGGGAACATGACAAAGGTCCTCTTGAGGAAACAATTATGAATGAGTGCATTATCAGCTCACATGCTTACAAATTACCAGGATGGTTTTAAGTAGTTACCAGTCAATCTTGCTAGCTTCTTCAGTATCCCACCAAGCAGAAAAATACACAAAAAATTAAAGAAGCTTTGTTCAAGTCTAGCAGAACAACTCAATGAAATCTCACAGATTTTTTAATGCCATAATACAAGTTGTTTTTTTTAAGTGAGGTATACATTAGATCAACAGAAAGTGTGATGCTTATAGTACTTTACAGCCAGTACAGCACTTGTGTGAAGGAGCCAGAGCTTCTGAACAAGCTAAGCTACGCAGTACTGAAGGTGACGCAAATGACCCGAAGTTACCTTTTTAACACACACACACACACACACACACACACACACACACACACACACACACACACACACACACACACACACACACACACACACATTATGTATAGATATGGATATATATATAGATATAGATAGATAGATAATAAGGAAAGAAAAGGGTAGTTTGATAATAAGGTCAAGTGATGTTAATATCTATATAGATATCAACATCACTTGACCTTATTATTAAACTGCCCTTTCCTTTGGAACTATGTTTTCCACTACAGCAGCCTTATATTTCAACACGTTGTATCAGATCAGCCAAATCCAGCTGGTATTGAAAATATGTACATTTTGTAACCCAGAGGGATAAACTATGAAGCTCTATGTTTCAACAACAATAATCGCCTCAACTGAAGACTGTGGGAGGACGGACAGTAACGCTAAGTGCATCTCTTAAATTCTCTTGAGGGAGAACTGCAGGAACTTGGGTTTTTCAACATCAGCACCTCATCTGAACCACCAAGCAGCATTACTTCTTTGTGTGACTCTCTACAAACTAATTATTTTTATTTTTCAAAGAATCAGAGTATCTACCCGTTTGTTGTAGCACTCTGTATACTTCATGTTTCGACCAAAGTGACTTCAGACTTGGTGATGTGAACATGATTTTTGTAGGGCTGCGGCAGCATCTGCACCATGAGAAGGTTGACTGATGCTCCATGATGACTCCCAGGGTCATTACATGACAGTTAACTTGATGGATGCCATCAACAGAGGGGTAATTCTCCTCCTGACAAGCCCCGCCACCCTCTACAGTGATGAAAAGCCGATCTGATGAATGCTTTCACACATTTTACATCCCTGCTCTGTTTTAGGCCGAACAGCCATTTCTAATCATGCCATGTTGGGTGAAATATAGACGACCAAAACTCAGGGAAACTATGAAGACACAGGAAACTGACTGTAACTCAACAGAAAGACATAACAGATATATCTCGGGGCTTCAACTTGTTCTTATTTTACAACACAATTATCCAGAGCCAAAGGTTATGTTGTTAAACTCTTTTCTTTTGCAGATAAAAGTCGATATTTAGTTTATAAAGATGAAAACACTAAACCCTTGTGTTTTAGAGCATTTTTCTTGTTGTCTTAGAGACTGATTTTTCTGTTTAATGAATAATTAGACTCGAATTAAATCAAAATTTTGTGATTCATTCATGTGTCAGTTGAAGTAGTTCATAAAAGTCCTTGTGTTTCAAACCTCTCAGGAAGTCTCACTGTAGTAAAACGAACAGAGTTAAATAGTCAACTAAGTACTTAGACCACAGATTTTGTGTGGCACTCAAAGGTTAAAAGCGCTTTTGGTAGAGAAGCTCTCTGGAGTACCCACTGCACATGAGAGCATGCTTTAGTACCTGAAGTGAACCGCTTCTTGTACAGGTTAATTCAATGTTTGGCATAAATGGACTTCTCTGTCTATTGCAGCACGTGAACTGCACACTACAAAAGCATGCCTGCATTTTGTCTTCTTATTAATTACAGATTAATGGCTGTGCGGTGAAATCTTTTAAACTTCAGCCGTCTGAAGGGTCGGGAAAATCAATTTCTACACGTTTAACATGATATGACCTTTAACCTTTGGACCTAAGACAGGTCACAAATGGGCTCATTGATCAATACAGGAAAGGCTGGTTTCTATCTTAGAGTGTGAACACAGCATTAATAGACTTCTGAGATTACCATGTCTAATAAGTATTGATTTGATTGGTAATTGGTGATAAAGCAGTTCATTCAAAGTGAGGCACCCATTGAGTTATTGATGTGCGTATCATTTATATTTTTTTCTACATCCAGTGAAAGGAAAAATCCCTCAAAAGTGTTGTAGATACTCCTGGGAACGTTGTGTTTGCTTTAAAAGTGAAGAAGTATGAGCATCATGTTTTTCACTTTTTATCTTATTTTTTATTTTTATTTTTTTCTGATAGCTCTCTGTCCTATTTATGGATCATCAGTCTTTCCTGCCAGTAACACACTTGGTAAATAATTAATAGTCACACCCCAATGCATTCCTTTGACTGTCAGAAGTGTAGGACATCATGTCTTCACACACACAAGTTATAGTAATGCAAGGGTCAAACTGAAAGAAATGCCCCTCTAGGTCATGTTGGGGAAGACTGCCTATAATGGTTCATTAAAAAAAATCTCTTAGATATAATGAGAAGCACTGGGAATGGGAATATAAAGAGGGAAAGGAAACACGAAAGGTAAAATTAGCTGATAAAGCTCTGACGGTGTGCAGGTCTAATAAGGGCTCTATTGTTCTGTGGAAGTCAAGCCTCTGATTCCCCAACTGTGATCTCCCTCTCTCATAAAAAAACTCCTACACACACATACTGTGTCCTCCCATACAATGAGATTTGAGTCTTTGGTGCAGTTGTGGGCTCTGTTAGGTGCACTATGGACGGGTAAACAATCACATCAACACAGAAAAAAAGAAAAGCACACAGATAGAGGACTGGATTGTGGGGCTATCTCTCAGTGTTCTGCGGTCCATCGACCCTGCATGGCTGCTCTCAGCTGGATACGTGTTATCCACAGCAGCACTGCCTGTTAGGGGGAAAGCGAGGGCTGTGGAGGCTGAAAGGGAGGTGGAAATAAATGGGGAGGAGGACAGGATACAGGGGTGATGCTGTGGAGGAAACGGGATGAAAAACACAAGGAGTAAAAACAGTAGTATGGTGGTGCATGTGCAGCCGACTCACTGGCTTTAGATTTGAACAGGGTCAGAGGTGAAATGGGGTTGTCTGTCAGATGTTGCTCTGCATCATAGCTCCAAGGGAAAGGGGTCAGTAGTCAGCCTCCACCTTTATCTGATCAGCTCCTCCTCCACCTCCCTCTCCTCCTCCTCTATCAAGACTCAGGTTGTTTTTTTCTCGCTCTTGTTTACTCACCTCATGTGTGTCTCTAATAGGTGTCTATGGTGATGTTGCCATGTGCCAGCTGCCATCTGCTACCCTTCCCTATCCAGGTAAGACATTTCATACTTTTGTGGCCAGGGTAAATCTAACAGGTACATTCCCACGTTAATTGCTTGCAGTCACTTTCTTTAACGGATTGACATGAAAGTCAGACCAATCTGCCCCTTTTAAATTCAGCTGGAAAGCAAATGAGTTTACGTCCCAAATACTGCTGACCTTTCCTTTGAAAGAGCATGCTGTATTTGCATCGTTTAGACAAAAACACATAAACAGCTTCTTTTCATAAAGGTCATGTCATACTTTATCATCTGTTTCTCAGGGGTTAGTCTGGCAGAACTGTAGCCTTCTGTCTACATTTTGCTCTAAACTGTGTGTTTTTAAAATGTTTTACTGAGCTGAGTGGAATAGTTTTCATTTATTAATGAAACTACTGAAGAATATGTAGTACCTAGCAAACATAGAAACAGGCTTAGGGTTTTTTTGATAAAAGATGACTGTTGGTACAATGCTTTGGAGTATAACATAAAAAGCTGTGAAAACTACATTAAATCTTCCACTTGTCTCCAATAATCTGGACTGAGAGTCCAGACAGATATGTGACAACAAAATAGCAATTCATGGATGTTCGGTTTAATGTCAACATGCTGATCCCTTTACCTCAACAGATGTGAGAGGACAGTGCGGACAGTCAGATGCAAGCTGCGAAATACAATAAAATAATTAAAAGAAAACACAAGCAGTTTGTGCAACTTTTGGCATGAGTGGCAATATCTTTGTTATTAAAGAAAAAGGGGGACAAAAAGAGAGCAATTCTTTGTCTCGCAGTGTGTGATTTGCTTGCACAGTTGCTTTCCAGACAGGAAACTGTGTTTGGGTACTTTCCAAGAGGTTATAATGAAGCAAACATTCAATTTCAGTGGACACCATGAAAGCGGGGTAAAGATGCCAAGGGATATTATTTGGCACATTTCTGGGAAATTGGCTGTGAGAACTGCCAATTATATTAAAGTGTACTTTTAATGGAATGTATGGGGTAAAACTGTTATTAGCATCAGAGCTTCATAAATACATACTTGTTTTATTTCACTAAACACGTAAATATGTCTATGCCCCACTACACGAATGCACACATAAATACACAATGCCACATCTGCAGCCTTGTTTCAGCATTGTCCTCTAAACTTTGCTCATTATAAAGTTCCATTTTGTGTTCATTTGAGAGGGGTCTCTGATAATGATGTAACTTAAAAACTCACAACTCAAGACTTTTCAGTGGGATACTAGAGCCCACATTCAAGAGCTCTATTTTTTCCCAATGCCAAACTAAACCACATTCCACGAACATATACTGGAGATAAAACCTGCATGACTTACAGATCACAGAATGGATACGTAACCTTCACAGACAACACATATTTTCTGAAAAAGCAGATTATAACTTACATCATACATTCATCAAATACAGTTTATGATGTTTGATTTACAGTAGACCTATGCGCTCCTGTTACATTTTAACAGAAACAACTCTTTAGAGCAAATGCATTGGGACAGCAGACTGAAAGAAACCAATATTATGTATTATCATACAGTATAATACAATTAAATTCGGTTGAGTATCATACCATGCCATACCCTACAATGCGGCATGATAGAATACATTATAATACAATTCGCTATTATATACTACGATACAATATGATACGATACGATACAATATGGTACAGTACAATATGATGTGCTATGATACGATATGATACTCAACGATAAGATAATACCACTCACTCAAAGATGTTTGAAACCAAAGTACTTAAAATATATATCAGTCAGGTCTGAACAAAAGTGATTCTAAAATTACTGAAACTTTTAGCTGTGTTAGCTTGGATTCTTATAAAGTTTTTATTGGTTTGTTAGGCTATTTTGAAGGATTTTATGTCTGTTTTTAAGTTTGTGTTTTGTTTTGTTGTTTTTTTTCTCATGAAAAACTGTAGGGAAAAATTAGCTGTAGCTTCAGCCTAAACCTTCTTGATTTGCTTAATTTTTTTTTCTCTTTTATGATTCTTTTTGTATTTGTTAATTTAAAAAAAAATTTAATAAATGAAAAATAGTTAAAAAAATAATAATAAATTCGATCCACATGTTGATCATTTAGGGTCAATAAAAGGTGACTTTTATTTTCAGCACATGTGGAACACTCAAGTTTTATTAATAGATTTAAAAATGCAGAAGCTACAAACAACAACAGTGATCGATCCCCATCCGAAACAGAGACAATGACAACCATAAATCACATTTAATATAGTGCACATAGTTCAACATACAACATATCTGTGATAAGATAAGGGGATAAGAAAACCATGAAGCCCTGCAGCTCAAAGGAACATTTGTGATATGATCATTGCTGGCACACATAAAGTTTTTAAATGGTTTAGCGCTATGAAACGATTAATGATGATTAATATTTCTAATGATTCATTTTTTTTCATGAATCCTTTTTCAGTTTTCCTCCCACATTCTAGCTAAACACCAGTTCAGATCTCTGTCTGATGAGAGAGAACAGAGCTAAGACATAGAAATAGTCTACTTTTAGGTCAACCCCTCAGAGAAGAAGAGGTGCGTGTTTGTGCTCGCATGTGAGTGTGTATGTCTGAGTGTGGGTGGGTGTTTGTCTGGGTTTGTGTGTTTGTCTGTATGTGTGTGTGTGTGTGTGTGTGTCATATTACAGAGCAGAGAGGTAAAGGTATGGCAGCCGCCTGCAGGAAAATCTGAGCTGCCTGCATCTAAGAGAAGCTTTCATCCTCCTACCTACCCACCAAAGACGGGAGGCACACACACGCACACACACACTCTAACTCTCTGCCTTTTGCACGCATATACACACTCCCTCATGAACAAGGGTTGAGGTTGGGGATCCCAATAATCAACAGATATTTCACTACAACTGCAGCTCCTCGGTCTAGATTGATTTTTGTTGCCAAAATGTCAACATCCAACTTCTGTCTTATTTCTCCTGAGATCCAGAGAAGCTTCAAGAGAGGAAAGAAACACAACATTTAAATTTAGAAAGTTATTTTCTGCTCTCAAGTTTATTCTGATTTGGTATTAGCTAAATGTATTTTAAAAATATAAAACGGAAAGGGAGAGAGTCTAGGGTGGGAACAGGTTATTTATTATCTTCATGTCAGTGTAATAATAGAACCTTTGGACGTGTAGTATAATGAGTTTGCATAAATTTCTAGAATCTGCAGGAATAGAAAGGTCAGAGTCTGTGCATCAAGGGCTGGTACATGCTGACTTTCATACTCCGCTGCCTTGCTATTAACATGCAATATATCTTATCTGATCTTTATTAAGAGCAATGCATGTCAATGCTAGGTTTTCTAAGCCTTGCAGAACTCTCTGCAATCAGATTGCTAACAAATCATCACTTGGAAGTGGTATGGCTCGCACTATGATGAGCTCTTTTACATATCTTAATCTGTAGCCAGTCATATATTTATATGGTAATAGATATTTCCTGAATAGCGCTTTCCCTCATCTTTCTGACCCCTCAAATCACTTTTACTTGATATTTTACATTCACCTACTTATACAATATTCCTACAGTGATAGCAGAAAACACAACGTGAGGAAGCGTAACTAAGCATGCTAACCACCTGGTAGCTATCAAGTTCACCATCAAGATTGATGGCAGTCCATTACATAGTTGCCCATGTTATTGAACAATGGAACATTAATGTTATAATACTGTTGTCCCTTAGGAATCACTCAAGTCTTTAGGAAACGTCATCTGGGAACAATAAATACAAAAATAGAGTTGAAAAATAGAGCTGTCTCATCTAGATCTCCACTATCTAATCAGAGCCCCTTTGTGCAGCCTTTAACTGATTTAAACCAGCTGTCATAAACTGAGAAACAAGTAAACAAGTAACTTGGCATTAGCAGCCCTGTTGTAAATTCTCTATTATTTGTTTAGACTGGGCCTTTTATCTTGTTTATTTTGTTCAGACCTCTCATGGGACCAACCAGGGTCATAGTGTGGTGCATGAGAACATCATAAGCAGAAAGTACGTTTGTGAAGAAAGCCAGTGATGAATAGCTTATTTCCTGATATATCCATAAGAACTTAATGCTGCATGTAGTGGGCATTATTTCTGTTAATTAACAGTGACTCATTTCTGATCAGGCAGTTCCTGTATTTGATGTGATTAATGTGTGTATGTGTTATACCAGCAAAGCTAAACGATTAGCTAAGCTGTTAATATAAAAGTGTTTCATTTGCTGCAATATGATCCAAATAAAACTGGCCTTAGAAATTGTGAACATCATTTTTTCAGCAATCATTCACTCATCCGCCTGTATTACTGCAGTCAACAGTTAACCTCAACTACTGACTGTTGAAAACTCACATATCGTTCACATTGGACCAAAAACTTGTTATATGTTGATAAAGTCTTCAAAACTATTTCCCCATTCAGCCTTATCAGGCATTTTCCACCCAAACATAGGTTGGGTCGCAATCAGGGAACTGATTTAGCTCATCTAGTTGAGCTAGAAACCATGGTCTGGGTTTGACTTCCCCCTTTGGCATTTTGCTGCATTTCATTCACTCTCGTCTCTGAATGTCCGATGTCTCTCACAGCTGTCCTATAAAAAAGCAAAACGAACAAAAAAAAAATCTGAAAACTAAGGACCCAAGCGGTGATTAATTGGCCTTCAAACCTTTGTTGGTGGCAGCAGATGCATCATTGCACTGGGGCTGTAGCTCTCATCATGAACCAAACATGTATTTAGATATGTTCAGGCTGAGACTGTAGGCATCCATGTATAATTTAAAGCAACCACAAAAATGTAGCCTTGTATTTTACCAGCAGGTGGGGCTATGAATTTGGCTGTAATCATCATATTAATGGTACCATTACCATTAACATGGTATTGCATGGGCCGAACAATAGAGCTCGAAAGCTAACTCAGAAGTGTAAATGGAGGTTTGTACCCCTTTCCACCAATAGGTAGTGGTGTCAATATAAGTGAAATGTTGACAAGCTAAAGCTGGTACCATCACCAAAGCTGTGAATCGTCAAGTAGATCTGACATGAGATGAATAGTTAGTACACTGTATCCCCGTAGAACTGCATAGGTGACAAACCATAGACTGTATAGACTATGGACAACTTGGTTCCACCAGTATACGGATTTAAAGCCAAAAAGCTCTCAGTAATTCCGCGTTTTTTTCTCCACTTCCTGAAACCAACATTGCGCAGTAGTGTTGTACGTACTCCACCACTTGCGCAGTAGCATTGTACGCATTCAGCAGGAGAGTCGCTGTGATGACGCTCGTCTCAAACAGCATATCCCCCGGGTGAGCCACGCAATCTTCGTACACCCCTAAGGCTGCATCAAGTGTCAATCATAGAAAACATGAACCCCCCAATAACTTTTAAAAATGGAGCTGCACAGAAAAAAAGAGGACTTGAGCACAAAACTTATGATTAATACATGTCAACATCACAACCAGGAGGGAGAAAAATGTACATTCTGTGTAATAAATTTCTAAAGTTTGTCCACAGCTCCATAAGGATGGCTGAAGGAGGTGGGATTTATGACCTATACTGCAGCCCGTCACCGGAGTGTGCTGTTCGGCTTCACCCAGCGAGGAGGCAGACACTGTCCATTCTTTATACAGTCTATGTGAAAAATCTGCATATAGTAGATGTGTTGAGAGGTGTACCTTACTCCTGTATATTTTCAAACAGATCAAACATTCTTTGCAGGAGTCAAGATAACTTCCTGTTTTTTTATCAAAGTTTGACGCACTGTTAAGGTCACACCCCACTAAAAAAACTGAGAACACTAATGCTTCATCATGGTGTAAAGGATTGGCTGTATCTTTACCCCATTTACACACTATAAATATGAACAGAAGAAAAAAACAGCATTACAGTTAGAATTGTGATTTCTTGTGATATTAAAAGTTTTACGTTTTTATGAATTTTATGAAAATATCCTCCAACTTGTACTTCTCATTTAGTCTCACTCTGACAAAAACTCAGTTTTAACAAATTTTTAAGCTTTGATAAGTGATCTCAAAATCACTGATTTGCATAGGAGTTGATCTGAAGAAACCCCAAAAATTAGTTTGTCCGGTCATATATGCCGTAAATTGAAATCAAAACCCATACTTCATATGGGTTAAGATTATAAATTTAGCTGCAAGAGAATTTCTCTGTAGGTCTCAATTTGACAAACACGCATGCTCATATGTACGTTAAAATAACCTCTAGGGGAGGGGTATTTGAAGCTATTAGGAGGCAGGATTGAGACATATTTGCAATGTTTCTCCCAAGACCCAAAAGATATATAATTCTTCGCGATGCCTGATGCATGATCAACAGTAGAAGGGGCTCCTACATTGATATATCTGGTAATGTGTTAATGTTTAAAGTAAGAAAGAACAAAAGAAGTTTCACTATATGAACATGAAGTCAGGTATGATTTTTGCACTTGTGTTTCTTAATCATGCTAATATGGCTAATAAGTCACACAACAACATGAAAGAGCAGCCTTCTTGTCTTTCTTTTCAAGGGTCAATGCGTCCTGATATCACGTCCAGATCGGGTCACTGATACTGGAGAAGTTTTAAACACCAGAGATTAATAGACTTTTTGATTCCCTACAGCATCTTTTGATTTAGAAATTTGTACATTTACTGGTGATTACCCACGTGACATCTTCAGAGTAAGTTGAAAATCCTCCAGGGCCAGCAAAACTTTGTGAAGTTGTCGTCACAAAGATTTTTTTTTTCTTTCAAGTTAATTAACTCTGACAAGGGAAACTTGGACATCCCTTTTGAAAGTTCAATGGTGCACCTTTGAGGATCTATATATAAACAGTTGAGGCAACCCCCTGCAGACAAGTATACAGTGACTGCTTTAATCCAGATGTAACTTATGATTTATAGCATCAGCTGTTGTTCGTCTCATTGTTGTTGGTTAGCTTCCTTTGTAGTAAAATGCATTCAGACCTCACACTGTAATTATGCAGGATGGAGGGGAGCAATAAATCTGATAACACAGGCACACACACACACATATATATGCACAAACTCTCCCACACACATATACTCAGGGGTATAAACTCATGGACGAGCAGAGAATTGTTGGAACAGAGATCAGATTAGAGAAGCTTTTCTGATCTGTGGAGAAAGAAGGGTGGGCTCATGTATCAACCAGCCATCTAAGCTGGCTTATCCTGATATAACCAGGAGCAAAGACACACACATATACACACACTTCGGGAAAAGAAAGTTTACTGGGTGATGTGGTTGGAGAACAAGTGGAAGCAATGCAATCTCCAAACAATTCCATATCCCTTTTAGTCATGGCCAGGCTTTGGCTGTGAAGCGGAAACAACTTTGAGCTCTTGTTAACAGCGTCCCCAAACTCCCCTATTGATCTACTTTGCTGCCTCTATACTTTGTCGTTACTCTTATAAAAGTATTTCACTCTGCAGCTCCCGACTTTCACCGTCATGCTGATCGACATTTCTATCTTTCTTGTCTCCTCTCCAAGTAGGACTGATGTCCAAATGTTGTGCCCCTCCATGAGTGGTCCAACCCAGCTCTCCCTGACCGTTTCATGGACAACAGACAGACCCAAGCATCCAAGTCCGCTGCTTGACTCAACCCCAGCTTGCACTGAAGACCGCACCCATAACCCCTCACCCCTTATTGTCACCCTCAGCCCCCCACCTCCCTCTGTCCTACTCTCTCTCAAGCCTCTCCTCACATTTTGACAACCCCAGTCCTCCCTAAGCCCAACATGGTAGTCCACATTCTCATTCTACTTCTGGTCATGATGTGTCGGGGCGTCTTGCTCTCTGTCGGAGACCAGCCACAGCAGTCGCGCCGAGAGATCCGCATTGAGGGAGATCTTGTGCTGGGGGGCCTGTTCCCAGTGCATGAAAAGGGTGCCGGGATGGAGGAGTGCGGGCGTGTGAATGAGGACAGAGGGATTCAGAGGCTGGAGGCCATGCTGTTTGCCATAGACAGAATCAATATGGACAACGTTCTGCTGCCTGGGGTCTCTCTGGGGGTGCACATACTGGACACCTGCTCCAGAGATACCTATGCACTGGAGCAGGTGGGTGAGGGTGATCTATGCACATAATTATCTATTTAAAACACTGTTTAAATATAGTTTTGTGTGAGACAAAATCTTGCCTTTGTCCATCAAAAAAAGCTTTCCATTTCAAACTCAAGCATGGCTTTTGGAAAAACACAACTTACTGACTGACATCCTCAAAAAACTTACATGGATGGAGAGAGTTATGTAAAATACAATAAAAAAACTCCCTTTTAATGACTTTTTGTAACAATAACACACCAGCAGCAGACCTGCCCAGTTAATCTATCACAGGCAGGTGTGTACTGGGTCTGTGGTCTTTTGGATCTCCGTTAACAAGGGTCTTATCAAACATATCGTGAGATAAATAAGAGCAGGAGATAATACAAAGCATTGACATTTTTCTGCTGCCCTGTGTCAAAAAGTCTCCACTGCTTTGTGTCAGAGAGTCTCAGAGGAGATAGAACAACCAAGCTCCCTCTATGGACATCCATTCAGTACCTTCATGGTGTTGAATGGATGTTGGTGTTCCTATATTTGCTGCCCCTGAAGTCAGCATATGAGGAAAGAGTTGGGTAATTAGAGAGAAGACTTTTGGTCTACAGAAACCGAAGTCCAGCAAGATGGGAATGGTGGTAGAAATCCCATTTTGAAAGAACAGTGACAGATGTGTTCCTTCAGAGTATTGGAAAGGAGAAGGCTGTTCTGATCAGAAACTCTTAAAGGTATGGTGGCTGGCATCTTGGTGTTGGGGGGGGTGCAGATTTACCAAGCGAAGTAGTGTGAAGTCCTGAAATTGGTCATAGATGCCTGTCCTTTTAAAACCTCTTGAGTCTGTGAACTCCTAGCTATTGTTGCCTAGGTTACAGGAACATGCCAACCATGCATTTGAGACTTCTTGGCACTTCAGAAGAGAACAGCTCTGTTAAAAATGTGTTCTGCTGCTTTGTGGTCATCATCAGCTGTGTTCACCTGATACTACCAGCAAATAATGCAGTATTAGCACTCTTTGGATAGTTTGTTTTGCAGGCATGCAGAAGTGTTTTGCAGGTTCAGACTTAGAAATCTGTGTTTTGAGTGTTGACTTTTGCCTGCTATTACCTGTGAATGAAGATACACCTCTTTTTGACAAATTGTTTGAAATGCTCTATTTAATTGTTATTGCTGCTGGTGACTCAAATTTTACTAGAATTCACATAAAATATGCTTTACAAATGGAGTTCTGGTGCAGAAAAAAAAGAAAAAAATGATGATCTTCCATTTTAACCCAAACCTATAAAGTCACATTAGAAGACATCAAACATCTTAAAATACTTTTATATCCCATCTGGGTAAATTTGAACTTGCCTGAGATAATAGAGACAAATCCTTTGGGAGAAATAGATATTGAGTTTATTTGCAATTATGTATTAAATGAGCTGGATATTAAAATATGACAGGTGTCCCTTAGGAACTGCTAGCTTTGACAATTACACTCTCTCTCTTGTTATTGGAGTATGAGGGGATGTTTCATCTGGTGATCGTATTCAGAAAATGAACTGACTGTATCAGCTGAGGCTTTTTGATGATGTGTCGCAGGTTAATTTGCTGTTTATCCAAAGACCCACAATACCATAATATTTACAAATAGTATAAAGTCCCATTAAGAAGACAGAAACCACCAGTCAAACTTAATTTGCCTGATATTCCCAACAAACAGACTTCTTAGAATTGTGTAGATCAGTGGTTCTCAACTGGTGTCACTCGGAGACCCACATTTTCCCATGGTCCTTAAGTAGCGACCCACTTTTTTAGAATTCAAACCAACCAATTTAATTTTTATTTTAAAAAAACCTTTAAAGACTCTAATAATAAACATAAATCCACATGTTTTATTGGGTAAAGTGCATTGACAACATGACAGACAACATGAGGACAACAACTACTGAAGTTGCATACAGAAAATATAAGATATCTAATAAATATCGCAATAAATATTTACTTTTTTGACCAGCTGTTCGTGACCCAGCCAGAATATGTCCGCGACCCACTTTTGGGTCAGGACCCACCAGTTGAAAACCACTGGTGTAGCTAATATTGGGCTTATGGTTCCCAATAAACTGCACAGCTTTTAAATGAAATAAGTGCGTTTCTGTTTCCCAGGCCTTGGAGTTCGTAAGAGCCTCCCTCACCAAGGTAGACGACACTGAGTTCATCTGTCCTGACGGATCTTACGCTCTGCAGGAGGACAGTCCGCTGGCGATTGCTGGAGTCATTGGTGGTTCCTTCAGTAGCGTTTCCATACAGGTAATGCATTTCACACCGGTACAGGAGCCACACAAATACATTTCACTATCACCATGTCTTCTTTCCTCATCTTTTACTCATCCATGCCCATCAATGTGCAATGCCCAAGTGTGCAAATGCTGACTTCCCGTGACTTAGCATGTATGTGTGTGTGTGTGTGTATACTTATTTCTTAGAATCAGTTCCATATTTGCGCCTTGTGTGTCTTCCTAGCTCCTGTAGCTCTTGTCACAGAGCCGGGTAATTTGCATAGTTTAGCATAAAACCTCCTTCTCCTTTACTCCTCTGTGGCTGCACAAAAGCATCTTCCTATCAGTCCTTAAATCCCTAATCTCTGCAACGTCTTCCTGTATTCGCTTTTTCTCACTGTTTCTTTTCCTCCCTTTTTTCTTTTATTTTTTTTTCTGTTCCTCAAATCTTTGCTCTCTCCCTTCTTTTACTTCCATCTCCTCTTTTTTTTCTCCATCTTCATAAGCATTCAGAGGCATCCCTCTCAGCTATTTAGGAAGAGCTCGGTGTATGCTGACCTCAGCCCCCTTCTTCTTCTCCTCCTCCTTCTTCCTGGGGCAACCGTTATTAACCCATCTTTTGCCCTTCATCACTCATAATTATCCCTTGTTTTTTGCTGCTCAGTCTTGTTGCCCTTTGTAATTGTTGCTGTTGTTTTTATCTATATTTCCTATGAGGCAGCACTATTTACTGAATCCAAAATGTAATCCCTCGTCTGATCTCTAGTCAGTGACGCTAATCCAGCAGCCTTCCCATACTTCTTTCTACTTCGCCAGCTTCTTTAAAACTAGGCAACAGGAATTAATTTCATCTCTGACTATGTAAAACTTAACTTCAGTGTTTTAAAGGCATTAACATACCATGCATGATCCCTCCCCTCCACTCCAACACATGCATGTATGTGTCGCGGTGTGTCTACGTGCGAGTGTGTGACTTGCATTCCAAGCAGAAAACACACAGCAGCCCTCCACTGCACCAATTTTTTCCTCCTTTTCCTTTCATTTTTTTCCCTACACATCCCTCATATTCAGTCCGTTCCTACAGTGTCTCTCTCTCACAGGAAGGTAGCGGCTCTTCACTAACAAAGTAAACTCTCAGTGTCCCTACAGACAGGCCTCTTAGCTAGCTGTAGTCATTGTTCACCGGCAAGTAATGGAGCAATGCAGTTAAATTTTGCAGCATGACCTTCCCTGACATTCAAGTCAACTGCCATCTTTAAACCATAAAACCTGCGGCGAGTACTATAAGCAGCATGCGTGCGTGAGAGTGTGTAATACTTGTGCATTAGAGTCCATGTGTCTGTGCAGGTGTTGGTATGGATGTGTCATCTCGCATCGTGCACACCATTTTATGTCTATGAGTGAACATCCTAATCTTCTATATTATTAGTCTAATGAGATTCCGACACGTTGTCAAAACAGCTCATCAACTGGGCTATGAATGAAACATAGAAAAGCCCAGAGTGATGCGCTCTAAAAGGATTAAACTGAAGCTAGAACAGAATGTCTGTTATTATGTATTTATTGTACGTGTGTGCCTATTTTCTTGTGTTTGTTTACATGCACACAAGAATGTGTAATTCTTGTACTTCGTCTATATTTGTAGTGGCATCCATAACAAAACACATAATGAAGAGAACATGACCAATCATCATTAAGCGGAAATATTGTAGGGACATCAGTAGAGCCATCACTAATGTACGAGTCGGAGAGTTATTGAACCCTCAGCCCGCGTGTTTGTGTGTGTGCTTTATTTTGCTTCTTCATGTGCACATAGTACTGTATGCCCTCACTTGCTGCCTTTCCTTAAGTTATCACATTATGTATGAAGCAACAGTGGCAGCTGTGACTCTGAGAGAAGAGTGGTTCATCCATTAAGAAGAAGATCTGTGACTCAATCCCCTGCTTTCACAGTGCACCTGCCAAAGCGTTTTTGGGCATGATATTGAAGCCACAAAACGCAAACAGCTAATGGTGTGTGAGAGAAATTGGTTAAATAACATCTCCATACTAAAGAAAGGAGGGATGACACATGTAGTGTGAAGGATTTTGATTGGTTGATGGTCTATAAAACGGCAGTTTTCCAAGATTTAGTACATTTGCTTTAAACACATCCATTATTCAAGTATATATCAAACTTTTTTCAGGTTTTTGTCATTATACCCACTATTTTTACAAGAATTAAGTTGTATTAAATTCATTTTCTTCAAAGTCATAGGAAAGTCATTACACTAAAGTAAAAAAATCTGTTACAAACTTCAGGTTGTTATTTAGTCAACAATTAGCAACGTAATACTGTTTTGAAGGGGGGTTCAGCTCTGTTTTCTGCAATCTTTCAAAGTCCTGAAACTCTTAACATTAAAAAAATTAGAAACAATTTCAAAAGAAACTCCATGTTCCTCTTGTTGGTACAAACAGCTGGCCGCTCACCACAAACCAAAATTAGGACTTAATCACAACTCTATTCTTCGAACATGGAGACTTTGTTCTTGTAATATTATGGCTTTGCTACAACTTAAGTCTAGTCTTATAATGACGTTACTGTAATTTTATCTTGTAATAGAATGAGTTTACCATGACTATTCTTGTAAGAAAAAATCGTATTGATTTTTTAAATGTGTATTTTAATATTAGATCATATAGACAAGGATAAATTTACTTTCCAGCTACCAAATTCAATTTTTTTACAGCCTGTTCATGAAGGATTGGTCCACTACTTTTCCTCTTTGCTAATGTTGTGAAAGTTTAAGAGCCATGGTGGTGTTGTGAAGTCATTCTGCTTAAACACTAAATGACTGGATGCTTCCACAATGCCATAATGCTATCTAAAATGGGAACATATCAGCGTGCCATTTTTTCCTTTAACATAAGGTATAAGCATAATGTTGGAAAAGAACAATGTTTTAACTGTACTATGAATGGAAACTTTAAGTTTAGTGTTGTTTATAGGGGTAAAGCAGGTCAATGTAAAGACTGTAATTAAATGAAAATGGTAAGTTCAATGTTAAGTGATGGTGAGTAGGTTCCATATGTTTCCTTACATTTAGATGCTTGCCATCTATGTTATACACAAAGTGTCTTTTTTGTTATTGTTGTTGTTGGAGTACTTAAAAATAAACTGTGAGGTAAGGTAAGTGACATTGCTGCTGATGCCTCTCCAGACATTTGAATTGTAAACACTTGGAGCGGCTGCTTATTCACTACTCTAACTCTCTTCTGCCAGACTGATGCCATGTGCTTTCCACTGGGATAACTGCTAATCCCTCTCTTGCTCGAAGAGAATACTTTGATGAGTCAGAATAAAGTTGTCATACATTTTGAAAGGGTTTGTACTTTATGAGTTAATCACCCAAATTATGTCTCATTTTAGTCCATCTCTTTTTCTCAGGTCGCCAATCTTCTCAGGCTGTTTCAGATTCCTCAAATAAGCTACGCTTCAACCAGTGCAAAGTTGAGCGACAAGACACGCTACGATTACTTTGCCCGCACTGTGCCCCCTGACTTCTACCAGGCCAAAGCCATGGCAGAGATTCTCCGCTTCTTCAACTGGACGTATGTGTCTACTGTTGCGTCAGAGGGGGACTACGGTGAAACTGGCATAGAGGCTTTCGAACAGGAGGCCCGCATGAGGAACATCTGCATTGCTACTTCGGAGAAGGTAAATCATGGAAGGGCATATAATAATGCATTTAAATCAGCAGGACTACAAGCAATCACTGCTAGGAGCGATACAACGAAATCACACACTTTTATCAGCAGTGTCACACTGGTGTATGGCCTTGAGCTGCAGCAGTAACACTGAGCAAGGTGCTGAATTTGTGGCCTCATAAAAGTTTGTATCCAATTCTTCTTGTTGTCTTACACACAAATAGGTTTGATATTACACTGGTGCTTTCAGTTGTGTACCAATAAATGAGAGCTTATCTTGAGAAACTCATTCTGGGTAGTCTCACAGTCACATTTTTCATCTCATTTGCTTGGGAGGTGCACGGTGAAGTGAAAACACAGTACCCTAAATATTTTTAGCTTGCTTTTTTCTGCGAATGGTGGAGATAAATTGTCCCAACTGGAGGATGAGACTAAAATATAGAAATAGAAGACACACTCACAATACATCTCTTAATACATTATTGCTCTCTATCCATACAGGTGGGGCGTTCCAATGCCAAGAAATCCTATGAAGCTGTTATCCGTCAACTCCTCCAGAAGCCCAATGCCCGTGTGGCTGTCCTCTTCTTGCGAAGCGACGATGCAAGAGAGCTGCTGGCAGCTGCTGCCAGGCTTAACACCTCCTTCATCTGGGTGGCGAGCGATGGCTGGGGTGCGCAGGAAAGCATTGTCAAGGGAAACGAGGTCACTGCGGAGGGAGCCATCACACTTGAATTGGCTGCCAATCCTGTTCCAGAATTCAATCGGTACTTTCTCGGTCTTAACCCTGTTAAAAACCATCGTAATCCTTGGTTCAGGGAATTCTGGGAGCAACGATTCCAGTGCTCTTTGGGAAGTGGGGGAGGAGGCGAGTTGCCTCTCCCACCATGTGACGAAGACTTATCAATGGACGAGAGTAACTTTGAACCGGAGTCCAAGATCATGTTTGTGGTGAACGCAGTGTACGCCATAGCCATCGCTCTCAATAACATGCAGAGGAGCCTGTGCTTTAACACCACCAAGCTGTGCGACAGCATGAAGGCATTAGATGGGCGCAGACTCTACAGGGATTACATCCTTAATGTCAGCTTCACAGGTAAGAGAAGTGGTGCAATATGGTGTTAAAGGTGGATGAAAAGACGGCAGAAGTAAAAGTTGAAGATGAAGTTGAGAAGAGAGGAAAAAATTAAAGGATAGTGAGGAATAGGCAGGAATATAAGTTTTGTGCCTAGTTAACAGTCCTCTCAAGAACAACACAGGAATGTTATCCTTCTCATAAGCCAAAGCAACCAAGCCAAAGAACACAACAAGTACCGAGACAAATCCACTTAATTGCTATGTATTGTCAGAGCCAGCCTGCCATTGACACCTATTACCCATGCGTAATTTATACGACACTACAAAGTTGCTTTGAGGAAAGAGCGCTGCAGTTAATCCGTCAGCCATATTCTTCTTTCTTGCACTAATGAGATTGTGTGTGTTATAATAGCTCCTATAGCAGGCTGCCAGTCTGTCTGTCAGTCTCTGTAGAGTTGGGAGAAGAAGAGACAGAGGATTGGCTTGACTGACAGATGGCGTACAAAGGAAGCGTTATAAATAAACTGCTGTGTCTTGGGGACTGACACAGGTTTAGAGGTGCTTATTCCTCCACCAACCGTGACCAAGAGCAGACATCAAAACCGCCAGACAAACAGCACTTACACGGCAGCTTTGCAGCTTTGGACGCTGGGGAGAGAGCAGAAGGGATGGATGGAGGACAAAGAATGGCATCACCAAAGAAGGGAGGGGGAAGGAGGCTTACAGATAAGAATGACAGGCAGACTGGAATGGAAAAAAGAGAGAGTTTAGGGTAAGGTAAAGAGGAGTAAGGCAGAAAAAGAGATAGGGAGGGAAGGAAAGAAGGAACAAGGGAGCAGTGAGGCAATGATAGAGTGGGACAGCATGCGTCAGCAGAAGATGAGGCTTCTCTTTGAAATTCCCCATCTTCATTTTTGCTACAAATCAAAGGACTTGGAGCATTTCTGCCTGAGAGGAGGGAGACAGAAAGAGAGGGAGAACGTAAGTAAGAGTTAGAGAGAAAGACAGGGAAGAAACAGTGAAGGAAAATGCAGTTACAGGATAGCCACTCCCTTCTAGGATGCTTACAGAGAGGGATGGCTCAGATATGCAGATTCACACATGGAAAGTTTCAAAAGGCTGAGGAGTAAGTTGGAGATGATGGTGTGAATCCCTCTGTGACTCTATGTTTGTTGATCCCCCCCCTCCACTTCCTCCATGCCTCTCCTTTTTCACTTGTGATGTGCATCCATGAGGCGCATGTCTTACACTGCAGTAGAAACAGAGAGGCAGGATGTAAAAGGTTGAGTTTTTTTTTACTGCTAAACTAAATGGCGACAGCAAACAGCTATATTGGTTCCAAAGAGGAAATGACTGGAAGTGCCTTTTTTTTTACTGGTTAGTTTGTCTTGTGTGACGCACTCACTCTGCTGTACATAGAAGTCCCTCCGTCTACAGTATGTTAGGAAGGAGCTGAGGTGAGTTGAGGTTGAATGTGGGGTATAAATACTGCAGCATCACCATCCGCAGTGCTCCCAGTCTGAACTGTAGCAGACGCAAAACCAACACTTTTCTGCGTTCCCTGCTTCTCTCCAATCTCCTTCTCTTCTACACATAGGCATGTTCATTTTACTGATCCGACATCAGAGCAAAGTTGATCCCACTGGTATCTTCAGACCGTCTTCAACATTACTTACATAAGACTGCTTTTCGCTGTATGTTTTTCTCCGGCAGTGTATGTGATGCACAGGAGCGTTATGTTGTGCAGTTTGGAGTGTGTTTTTATATGCTGCTCTCTTTATCTAGCCTCATCTCGCTAGTTGCTATGGTAATGAAGCCGACACCATTGCCAATTGTTGAAGTGATCCAGTAGATCATGGGAGCTGCTCTCGACCATCCAGTATCACACAGGGGCGCGTTTTTGCATTTTTTTTTTTTTTTTTTAATAATCACAAAACACACACATACAAACAGACAAGAGGCTAATACACAAACACAGTCAGCGTCTTTACAAAGAGGCAGCTTGAAATGCTTGTTTTTTTTTTCAGCAGTATGAAATTGCAGACACCCCCAGCCCACACACTTCTCAAAGCCATCATTCAACTCCCACCCACCCACCGCCCTGATCTGCAGCAAACATATCAGTATACACATACACGCACGCACACACACACACACACACACACACACACACACACACACACACTTCTGTTGAAATAGTGGTGATAGATGTGATATTCCCTTTTCTCTGCGCTTTTGAGTGTGCACAAATGTGTGTGTGCGTGTGTTTGTTAGAGAGAGTGTGTGTGAGTGTGTGTGAGTGATACGTCTGTGTTAGCAGAGGCGGTGTGCCTTCAGGGCCATATTGAGCAGTGAGCTTACTGCAACATTAAGATGCTAGAGAACAACCTTCACTCCTTCTCTTCCTCATTTTTTTTACCTTCACACTCTTCCTCCCTCTCTCTGCCTGACACGCCGTATCTCTGTCTTTCTCCCTCTCTTTCTCTCACTCTTGATCAGTCCATCGCCCTATTCCTCTCCTTCTCTCTTCTCTTTCTCACCCAGAAAACTCTCTCTCTCTCTCTTTCTCTCTCTCCTCTCTCTCTCTCTCTCTCTACATTCAAAAACAGCACATCCCACTCAGACTTCACAAGGTTGCTCTTCTGCCTCCGCCGCCTCTCAGCGCTGGTCTGTTCCTGCACTCCTTTCCTTTTGCTCATCCCTCCATCCATCCCTTCACCTTCTCTCTATTGATTCATCCGTCCAAAGGCCTTTTTCCATCCACCTGTATCTCCACTGGCGTCACATTAGTCTCCTTCTCTTGTGCTATCTCCTCTCTCTTTTTCTCGTGTAATCTTCTCCCTCCTCTCCCTTGTCACTTCCCTCCTTTCTTTGCACCTTATCTTGTCTCCTTGCTCTTCCTTCCTCCCAACACCTCCTTGCTTTTGGCCTGCCGTTTTTTCCCCCTTTTGTTTCCTCTATCTCAACACCTTTCTTTCAGTCAAGCCTTGGCCCTCTGCTGCTGCAGCACATTTCTCCAATACATTTCTCTCCCTTGTTCTTGACTTCGTCTTGTCTTGCCTTTCTGCCCTCTGTTCCCCTGTGGCCAGTTGGTCCATGGCGCGGGCAGCCCCTTCATACCGAGAGAGCAAATCTGTCGGGAGAACAAGTATAGCTGATGGGATGAGTTAGTGACGTGTGAGTGCATCCTTGTGTCTGTGTCTGTATGCGCTCAGATATACTGTGTGTGTCTCCCTGTGGGGCACATGTGTATAAGGTCACAGGAGAACAAAAACTGGTCAAATAAGGTGGAAGTCATTGAAAGCATCCAGAGATGTTGAGTATTTATATTTTCATCTGAAACGGATTTGCATTTGTGCATGAACTAGCATGCAGTGTTTACTTTGTCAAGCTTAAATCAGGATTAAGTCAGGGATTCAGATGAATTGATGCTTAGAAATATCATTCTTCATTCCCTAGCCAAGAACTAATCAACAGCACGCTTCTGAATTTTCAGAATACACTCACACAAAGAAGATTCCTCCTCTCTCTCTCTCACACACACACACACACACACTTTCATATTACTTATTCCTACTTATTCCTCCCAAGCCTCTTTTCTTTTTTTTCTCTCTCTTCCCGCCTTTAATACCCACAATCCCTCTTGGGTTTTGCTTTAGCCCGACATGGCCGAGAACATAATTAATTTCACAGCTTCTGAATGAAAAGCCTGTTTTCACCATGCTTCTAATTAGGCTAGAATAATAAGGTGTTTCTGCAGTTAGCAGGAATGCAAGTGTCTTACAAAAATTTGGGATCTTGTTTTTCTAAATCGGTGGTTTGTCCCCAAAAACTTTATTTGCTTTTTGTTCCGTGATTTGTTTCTGTTCTCCGGCTCGAGCTGTTTTGATGATTGCAATCACAAGTGAAGCAGACTTGGTGGACATGTGAATTTGTAGTTCCACGACAGTCACGATACATGAAGAAATTGAAGGCTAAGAAGGCAGGTTTATGCTTGAATGCTGGAGGCAACTCGACAGCATGAAAAATCTGTCAAAGCTGCAAGTAATGCTGTGGGTCAAATCCTTCTTTGGGCCTCAGCTGGTCTTGTCTGGACCAGCGGAAAGTATTTGTATGGATGAGATCACACAGATTCATCAATCATTTGTGTTTTAGGGCCACAGTTGTGTTAGAGTAAGAGTTTTAACGCTGCAGGGGAGACCATACTGCTGTTAGAAAGCAGTCACCACATTGAATTATCCAGTGATCAAACTGGTTCAGTTCACAGTCCATAAAGCTAAAAAGAGATGCAGTAGAGGGGCAGCTCAGGCTAAAACTTACTTTCAACAACACTAGCAAGAACTTGTCAGCAGTGAGTCTGCCAAAATACATCTTCTGTTCTTGGCATGTAAAGTGCAGCACCTCTACTTCTGTTAGACAAATGGTGAAGAAAATGCTTCTCAGACACCCAAAGCTGCAGTCCAGGACCTGTCCTGCTGACTGATGTGTACGCAGCCGCTCGCTGATAGAACTTCTCAATCACCCTGTGAATTATCTTAGCTTCCAAGCCAAGAGACCAACCTCTGTAATCTTCCCCAAATGGTCAGGTCATCCAGCTAGTTTAATAAAATACAAGTTTTTTTTTAAGGGTGTGGGAAGTGACTTTGAGTTAAGGGTGCTGTTATCAGAAGTGCATTAATTTTCTTTTTGCATTGGCACAGTCTGCAGGCCACACTGCTTTATACCCTTTTTATGCTTCAAGTTTAAATACAAGCGATTGTGTGAACATCAATACAGATTCAAATTCTAAACAATATGGGTCACTATATTATGTGTCAAATGCCTGTCTTTGCAACTACCAGACTATCAAGAAAGAGCAAAAATACAGTAAAGACAGTAAAGGCTGTAAAGCTTACTAAACTGAACTTATCCAAATATGCTCAATTTTTATACACGCACATACACAGCCGCAGGCATCATGTACATACATGCATCACACCAGTCAGCAAAGCTACCATCGCCAGGGGAAAAAAGGACACAAGAACTGCACAGCAAAGCAGACAATAAAACAGCTAACACATGGAACCGCGGAAAGGGCGCATTGCGCAAATCAGCAACATCCACTATATCCAAATCAGCACATTATTTTAACCAACAAAATGAGTCCGTGCAGCACATACCAATCAACTCAACTCATTTGTATTTTAGCAGCCAAATTATCTTTGTGAAAATAAAGCTTAACATCAGTGTTGAACTGCTCGGCGGCAGTGAATGATGAACCAACTTCCTTACCTTAACTTGACGGAGCTCAGCTTGCGTGACTCCAACCACGGCTTGTTGGCGCTCAGAGGTTGATGAAATATAATTAAGTCCATAATAAGGGCATTAGTGATCAAAGAAGTCAATATTTCTCTGTAGGACAGGTGTGCGAGTCTTTTCTGTGTCATGATGGTTCGTAGCCAAGTTTTTAATCACTGTAAATTAAAGGATGAACGATGATGCCAGATTGGAGTGAACAGACACAACAGAGTCTGAGTTGTCCGCCTCCGTAAACAGAGCTTTGGTTTGTGGATGAAGTTTGGCCTGATAAGAAGTTCGCTGTGGAATCTCTGGAGACCCTTCCAAGCATGTTTTGTCGGAGCAGCAGCACCGAACTGAGGAGTGGCGGGCTCCGAGGGGCTTCTGTGACAATCTTTTTGTCGGTAAAACAAAACTAGAGCCATGAGTCGGCGGAACAGTTCAGTGCAACCATTGAATCCCCCTGGACCTTCCGATAACCTCCTTGTGCGTTTTTAGCAGCTGGTGGTTTGCGAAACAAAACCGGATTTGTTTTCTGCGCCATTACGATAGCTAACTACTGGAATGATGCAGCTGCCAGGTGAGGTGACAAGCTCAGGTAGGCCTACATAGACCATGATGCCTAGCGCCATTAACAAATTTAAAAATTACTAGCCTATAATTATTACTCATATTTTCCTAAAACATTAAAATTCAACTTTATAATGATAAGAAGAGAACAAAAATCATTTTAAAATCATTAATTCGTTCATTTTGGTACCAGGAAAGCATGGTGTCATGTCTGCCGTTTCCGGTAGGGGGCTCGCTTACTTCCGAAAGCTTTAACGTCACTGTAGAGAATCTGTTAGGGTTAGCATCTGACCCTAAACATATTCAAGTCATTAATGAAGTACTTGAGGGAGACTAGCTTATTGTACAGAGTTTAACTTTGGAGCTTATATGTACAGGCAGATACTTTTTTCTGCTTAATTTCCTGTGACACACTCCAATCCAGTAGGTGGCGGTAATGCTCCTAAAGCTCGTTGCCAACCGCCAATAAAACAAACAGGAAGAAGAAGCCTTCATATCAATAATAATATAAACTTCTGCCAACTCAAAGGAAAAGGCAAATGTGTACTTTTGACTATATGACTGACTTTATAACTCACACGGGGTGGTGACAGTCTTTTCAGCAGTATCAGGTTTGGAGTCACCCACTGCCACTGTCCTCAAAAGTGGATTTCAAACACCTACTCGAGGTCTTAGAGCTTCACTAGTACCTACTACCAAATAAGAAGCATTTCTCCAAAAAAACTAATCTCTTTCTTTATTGTGACATAGTAAATTACACACATAGGCTACACATAAATAAGAAAGACAGTGTAAGACAAGAGATATCATGGCTTGTATTATCTTGAGACTTGTGTTTGTTAACAGCAATATGTGAGCACTAATGCCAGTTTACTGTTTCCCATTTGTCAAAATAACTATGAAAGACCTCTTTTCATTGTAAAAAAATGAAAATGAGAAAATGCTTTCTGCTATCACTGGTGAGCCAACTTGCTGCAAAAAGTGTGAAGTACAGTTTCTCCTATTGTTCTTGTTAATCTTGGCAAGCCAAATGTAGTAATAGCGTTAACTTTAAATAGATGGAGTAAAGTTATTCAGGATGTGTGACAAAAGTCCAGTTAAGTGTGAGGTCTTAATTATATTAGATTAATAAAAATTCAATCTTGTGAAGTGAATCGTATCATTCCTTTGTATTGTGGTATCAAATCACACTGTGCTGAATTGATCAAGTTGAATCAAACTGAATCATGATTTTGGGTGTGATAAATATCATCGCACATTGCTAGTTGCTGCATAATGTATCTCTGATGTATCAAGTTGTGTATCCTACTTCAGACCTCACACTAGAGGTACACACCTGACAAACAAAAGAACCTGATAATGAAGGAGTCTAATGAAACTGTAGGAGTCATCAGACAAATAATAATTTTATCAAATGACGCTTAATGAGTAACATACTCCGTTAAGAGTTAAGATCATTGATGCTGGTAAAAAAACCCTCACTAAAGAGGTTCACATTAACACACCGCTGAAGACCCTTTGTCTTGCTTTGTCTCCATGTCTAACTCTGACGACCTCAGACTTTTCAAATCAGCCCGGAGCAGCGTTTGAGAGATTGCTGTCTATCAGTCAAGGACCCGTGCTGCCTGTCTCAGCTCTCTGCAGTCACCAGAGGAGCCTCAGTGGCCTTCGCTAGCTCGAACTTGCACCTTCATACACTTTTCTGATAAGCCACTCTGTCACGTCAGCAAGCTCAGTGGTGTGGGTTAGGAGGAGGAATCGCCCGCCCTCTGAGCCAGGCCTTCTCTGAATGTGTTTTGTAAGAGGGAAGTCAAGGACAATACAGCGCCATCAAACAGGTCTGGAGGCCAACGCTGTTATCTCTTTAGCCTGTAAAACACGTAATTACCACATACAGCTCATTAGGCTTCAGCACACATCTTAGGTCCTAATAAGGTGCAGTTGTGATAATTAGCTTGTGGCAAAATGTTCCTGTGAATGTGTATAGATATCTTAGAGAAGGCGGCCCAGCTTGTCTCATATAGCTCAGGATTATTAGCAGGCTTTATTATCTGCCAACTTTCAGTCTAATGGCTTCATAACTTGTCTTCGTCTGAAGATATTATCAGCCCCTTCTTATTGAAATCATTTTCATTTAGCTGTCACCTAAACATTTAGCCCCAAATCCAAAGAAGACTTGACAGCTAGAATTTCCGGTGACAGTGAGAGAGATAGAGGGAGTGGGAAAGAGAGAGCGAGAGAAGCAGGGTAGTGCTGTCTCAGTGATTTATGGATTTCATAAACCCTAACCCCCCCTGCTGCCATCTGACACACCATTCTTCTCTGAACACTCTGAGCTTTAACAACAATAGCACTACTTTAGCTCCTGTCAGTAAGCATGCACGTTCGCACACACACGCACACCTTTGCCGCCACACACGCGCGCTAACAGCAGGGTCAGAGCTGTGGCCCTGTCAGCACAGCCTCCCACAGCACTCAGAGCAATACCTTAACCATCACACTGTAAAGTAAAACCTAATGGAGCGACCAAAGGTGTGTGTGTGTGTGTGTGTCCGTTTTTCTACCCAACAGCATTTTCCAACTCTGTATTTTCTGATTCACTTCAACGCTCCTAAGTTGGAAGAAAAGGTTTTGGCATGCCATTCTTTCATTTACCCGATGACACAAAGACACGAGAAAGGCGGAACAATATCATCACCGCTGTAGCGAGCCTTGTTAACATTATGGAGTGATGCTCTGTAAGCCCAGTGTATGTCGCACTATCCCCAAGCCACATCATCATTTGACAGGAAGGCAGAAGCGTATCACAACCAGTCATGTACAGTGTATGGGCTGCATAGAATTGATAGCTCTGCTGTGAGGAAAGAAGTGGCTCTGTAGGAGTGACATGCTGTTTGTCTGTATCATAACAACTGGGTGTCAGCTCTGTCAGGTCCAACACTGCCTGTATCACATCAAGAATTTACTTCTTTTTTCCAGCCTGAAGATGCTTTTTTCTTGACTTTTTTCTTTAATGGTCTGAGCTTCCTGCCAATTTCACAATGTCTTGTGTTCCCACATCCTCGGGGTAGATGGTAATCCTTTCATAACAACTTGTATACAAACCAATTTGGCAGTTTCAGCAGTGTAGCTCCCTCACATAAGAGACCCAGAGGCTGATTCTTTCTGTGTGTGGGTAGCTCTAGCACTACCCAGGGAATCAGTCGCCTGCCTTTATGCCTATATGACTCTATGGGCAGTTTGTTAATGATGCATTCGGTAATAAAGTTTGTCACATCAGAATTTAGAGCAGGGGTTTGTCCCTATGTGACCCCAGGGAAGGATTGGAGACCATTGATGCACACAGATATTACCAGGCAAAGCAGGCATTTATAGCCTCTTAGCAAATACTTTTGTGACTGACTGGTCTTTGGTAATAAAAACACTATTGTAATCTCCACCACTATCTTTTTTTGTTCCCCAAGGGCTTAACTGACCACATCTTCTTGTCTCTGTTCTCAATAGTGTTTAAAAGAAGCATCAATGAGATATCCCTGGGATGATTGTTTGTGTTTTTTAAGCTTTTAACTCCTCCATTTACACACGTTCTTACTTTCTGTTCTACTCCAACAGCACCATTCACTCCTCCAGGCATTGAGACGCTGGTGAAGTTTGATTCCCAGGGGGATGGCATGGGCCGATACAATATCTTCAGCTACCAGCGCTCCGCTGATCGTTATGGTTATGTGCCAGTAGGAGAATGGGCAGAGAGTCTGAGCCTGAGCAACGAACTGATTCACTGGCCCAGAGAAGTGGTGCCTACCTCGCAGTGTAGCGACCCCTGTGAGCGCAATGAGATGAAAAAAATGCAGGCAGGTAGGAGGCAATGTTCCCTTTTTTTATTATAGAAACACACCATAGCGAGCCTTTTGAAAAATCTCAGACTGTCACACTCTGCTGCTCATATTCCTTTCTCCCAGGTGAGTACTGCTGCTGGATCTGCACAGCCTGTGAGCCTCATGAATACCTGGCAGATGAGTTCACCTGCTCGCCTTGCGCCCCTGGCCAGTGGCCAACTGACGATCTTACATCCTGTTACGACCTTCCTGAGGACTATATAATGTGGGAGGACGCTTGGGCCATTGGTCCAATTACTATAGCATGTGTAGGGTGAGTGATAAAGAGCTGTCAACATGATATCAGTTTCTGACTGGTCCTGAGAGGTATTTCTGCGTGTGTCCGTTTATGCTGGTGTTAGACCAGGGGAGGGTTCTGGTGGCTAATAAAGCTGCTTTTCCACTAGACAGTACGGCGCAGGACTGTTTGGCACAGGACACAATTATTTGCGTTTCCATTTTCAGAAGTTGGGAAAGATATCCAAATGATCAATCTGTACTCTTCTACTTTTTCAGCAATTTTCTGTTGAGTTTCAAAGTGTAGACACAGCAATGAGAGAGAGGAGAGGAGAGGCAAGGAAGATGTATTTTTATTCATATCAAGAAATGCTTGCAGATGTTTTGATGTGCTCTTATCAGGAAATGATTTTGATCAAAAAAATTGTTTACTCATGTCAAAGTATATAAGTACCAATCAAAACTTTGCCATCATTAAACTTTCTCCCCTCTCTGCCTGCACAACTCTCTCTTAATACAGGTTCATGTGCACAGGCCTGGTGTTCTGGGTGTTCGTCAGACACAACCACACACCACTGGTGAAAGCTTCAGGCAGAGAACTATGTTACATCCTCCTCTCAGGAGTCTTCATGTCCTACGCCATGACTTTCCTTTTCTTGGCCAAACCCTCTCCTGCCATCTGTGCCCTTCGGCGCCTCGGCCTAGGCACGTCATTTGCTGTCTGCTACTCTGCCCTCCTTACCAAAACCAACAGGATCGCCAGAATTTTTAATGGCGTAAAAGATGGAGCGGGAGCAGTGAGGCCACGCTTCATTAGCCCATCCTCTCAGGTGAGTGATTGCAGCATCATGTCCATCCATCTGCATCAGTCAGATGGATGGACGGTTGGACACACAGAGGACGTTGTGGACCTTACCTACTTCTCCTCCTCTTCTTTTTCAGGTGTTTATCTGTCTAAGTTTAATTTCCGTCCAGTTGGTGATGGTGTCAGTGTGGCTGCTGCTGGAAGTTCCTGGGACACGGCGTTTCACCTTGCCAGAGCGACGGCAGACTGTCATTCTCAAGTGTAATGTACGTGACTCCAGCATGCTGCTGTCACTGGGATATGACGTGCTCCTGGTCATCCTGTGTACTGTGTAAGTGTGATATAGTTGCTTCAATTTGCAATAAAGATTTGGTAGAAGAATACGTCAGAGAGGCTTCATAGTTCAGCAAATAACCCACATTTTACTGATTTGAAATTAGAGGTTACTTACTGTTGATTTCTCCATTGTAACAATATTTGGCGATATTAGGTAGAAGACATCTCTTTCCGGTTTGTTTCTGTGTAATTAGAAATTGTTCTTTTTTCAAGGTATGCCTTCAAGACCAGGAAGTGCCCTGAGAACTTTAACGAGGCCAAGTTTATTGGATTCACCATGTACACCACCTGTATCATTTGGCTGGCATTTCTTCCCATCTTCTATGTCACATCCAGTGACTACAGGGTAAAATCTTCCGAAACACAGACTCACACAGTTGCACATATATTTTTCTCTGCCTTACAAAAATAACACCATGACCTGACTTTACATTTCCTGCCAAGATCTTGTTTGCTCGATTCATAAAAAAAAGAAGTCCACAAATGGAGAGAAGCTGTTTTCTTGGGCCTCACTTGAAGTGAAGACAGCCGCTTTGTGCTTTCGCATCATTTTTTGCATACAGACATATCTTATACAAAAGACAAATCTCCTCTATAACTCGACGCAAAAGGAAGTTGTTGTTGTTTTTTCGCTCCACAAACAGAAACAGAGTCCCGAGAATGTAACCATGACAACACAGGTCTAGTGGCAACTTAAACAGTCTCAAATCCTGCTGTCAAAAATCCCAGCGCTGCAGTACCGGGATGACAAGCAGACAGGCTCAGTCAAAGTGCTGACACATGTCCAGATATCACAGCAAAGGGGAGGGAGTGTTCACCTGGTACATACAAATCATAAGCATGCTGTACACACACTTTCACACACACGTAGTGCACTGTATCAAAGGGCATATGAGAGAAGTGCTGATGCCGGGGCTCCTCATTTGATCCCCTCCCCCCCCCCCTCTCTCTCTCTCTCTCTCTCTCTCTCTCTCCCTCCCTCCCTCTCTGTTAAAAAGCATTTCTTTGGCCTTTTAATCTGACTTTATGATTAGACAGGTGGAAGCATTACATCCCTAACATGCACAATTTCCCACTCCCTCTTTCTTATACGCTCAGCCACTCAGGCTAAAACACAGCAGTGTTGTGACAGCCTGAAAGGGCGGCCAGCATACACTGTATTGATTTTAGTCTGACAAATCTCAGAAAATAGAGTTACTTTTGCCACTGAGATGCTGTTAAGTTTGGCCTGTGGTCCCTGTTGATTAAGTCCTTTATTGATCTGTTCTGTAATTGTTATCCTCTACACTGTTGCGAGGTATAAAAAAGAAAGAAAAAGAAGAAGCTCACTCACATGGTTTGTCCTTTCTCATTTTATTTTTTTAACAAAATTTGGAAAACAACAACTTAGAACCTGGCAGAGGAGTCAAAAGCTATCAAAATTACTCAATTTACTATCTGAAGGGATCAGCAAAGTAGTCAAACAGTGAGTCAATCTCATGAGACGAATGGAAGATACTTAAAGCCAAGGGCTGAAATGAACTAAAAAGATCGGAGGATTCAACTGCATAAACAAAGAATCAATGATTCAGTGACCAGCAGCTGCTCCACCTGGGGATTCACATACACTAGAGAAACAAGAACAGCAAGAACAGTTATCTTGGCCATTTACTTAAAAAAATCCAAGTAACATGGACAAAGAATGGCAATTTAAAAAAACAGAGTAAGCAAAGGTTGATGTGGTGAAGAATCTGCAAGATTTGGAAGATGAGTTTAAGTGAGAATGGATGCAGTCGCCTGAATGAAGGCAAAATGGATGAGTGAAGTGCAAAGGTTAAGAGGACAGAGCAAGAGAGGGTGATGGTGGTATGGAGTTACTCTTGGTTTTGCTTTGGTGTGTCTTTGTTGGTTGGTCTTGGAGTATTACTGCATTCAGATACCTCGGAAATCAGACGTCGGAGTTGAAAATGACGTCACACCCAAGTTACCAAGTTGGAAAAAAAGCAAAATCGGAGACGGAAACAAGATAGCTACATCTACGAAAGTTATTTTAATGCTTGCCTTGTCTGAATATAAGGCAAGTGCTAAAATAACGTTCGCAGGATAAGCTTCAACTCAGAGTCATAAAGCAGCTTTTCCAGAATATTTCGTAAATTTGTCGTATTTATTTTGCTCACCATCTCACCGAAATAATGTGACAGATTGAAGCATACATCTTCATTCAGAAGTTGATATAAATGATTCCTCTGTCAATGAAAGGTCTTTGAATTTCAGGGTGAGTAAAAAAATAATGAGGGGTCCAATGTAAGACACAAACGTCTGAACTGTGAAATTGTTGTACTTTGCATCATGACAGCATAAAATAGCACTACTCCTGCTACAATAGTGGTGAACTTCAGTTGGTTGATTTTGTCTTTAATATTGTTTTATCCCCTATCAACCTTATCTTTTTTCAAAAAGTGCCTTTGACATATGTTCATTATAACAGATTATCATCTTCAAATTAGTTTCACACAGCAATAACTTCGTCCAGCATTAACATAACACCTATTCATCAAAGTCAAACCACTCTTTATTGTCTCCTCCTCCCTTCTCTGCAGGTCCAGACCACTACCATGTGTATCTCAGTCAGCCTGAGTGGCTTCGTGGTTCTGGGCTGTATGTTCGCTCCCAAGGTCCACATCATCATGTTTCAGCCGCAGAAGAATGTGGCGAGCCACAGGCTTAACCTCAATCGCTTCAGTGTCAGTGGGGCTGCCACCACGTACGCATCCCACGGTGGGTTACATGCTGTTACCTCATTTTCAAAGAGACGGGGTTCAGAGCAGCGCTCTCACAGTCTTTTTTAACACCTCTGTGGAATGAGTATTTTTAGGGTCAAGTAAGGACAGAGGAAGTAACATCTTGAAATCTTTATGTGTTGGTTTGTATTTGAGTTGTATCAAATGACTAAAGGACAGGAAAATGAGTATTTGATTGTGATCACTTCAGAAAGTTCGATACTCAACAAACAAATTCAGTCGAGTTATTAGTATTAGTTTTAATATCAAAACTTTGGTAGAAAAAAAAAAAAAACATCTAATTTCTGCCTAATTGGTCTTAACCATAGACTGTATATAGAATGGACGCCGTCTGCCTCCTCGCTGGGTGAAGCCACTCTGAGAACAGCACCCTCTGGTGACAGGCTGCAGTATAGGTCATAAATCCCACCACCTCCAGCAAAGTATATGGAACTGTGGGCAAACTTTAGAAATTAATTACACAGTATAAAAAATTTTATCCCCGCTGCTTGCGATGTTGACATGTAGTTATTGTAAGACTGGTTTGTGCTCAAGTCCTCTTTTTTCTGTACAGCTCCGTTTTTAAAAGTTATTAGGGGGTTCATGTTTTCTATAATGGACACTTGATACATCCTTAGGGGCGTATGAAGATTGAGGAGCTCACACAGGGGATAAGCAGTTTGAGCCGAGCATCATCACAGCTACTCTCGGCAAATGCGTACAATGCTACTGCGCAAGTGGTGGAGTGTGTATAACGCTACCAAGAGCTTTTTGGCTTCAAATCCGTATACTGGCAGGAGGTGGAACCAAGTTGTCCATAGTATATACAGTCTATGGTCTTAACAGGATTGATGGTTATGGATAAAAATGTTCTTTCTTTTCCCCTTTTCTCTATTTAGCTTCAGTCAGTACCCAACACGTCCCAACTGTGTGCAACGGGCGAGAAATCGTTGACTCCACCACGTCATCTCTGTGACCACATCCAGTCCCCCCTCTGAATCTATCCCTGCGACTGTTAGCCAATCCATGAACATTACCCTCTCCTGTACCAACCGTCGCTGTCCTCCTCATACAAATCCTCTATACAGTCACACACACACACAGACATTTACACATGTACACAAAAATACACGCACAAACAAACAGCCAACCTTTCTTGTGGACTAGAAATGTATTGTTTCATAAATGTAGAAAGTGTGTAACTAAAATTAAATTATTTTATAGGGATGTATATACATGGAATCGACATTGTTGTAAGTAGAGAAACAAAAGAACAAAAAAAAAGTTTTTAGGAGGAATTTTTGGACCCTTTGTTTTTGATAGCTTTGTTATGATGCCATGTAAATAGACATGCGCTTAATCATAATAGGAGGGTGTGTGTCCCTCAGTCTGGATGCACATTTGTGGCTCTGCTTACCTCACCTGCAATATCTCACAGACTTTTTATTCTCATGCTTTTTTGTAGGTCTCATTGTAATAACCAATTATGTATGCATTTCTATTGTGTATCTGTACATTTGTATATTCTACTTCTGATGGTTCAAACAGCACAATGTTGACAGTCATGGGAATGTGGGCGAAAGGATCAAATGGACAGTATTACATGGCTGGAACGGACATTTGCAGAAATCTATGAAACTCATCGACTCACAGCGACACTGTGCCAGAACGCAGTTTCCAGCTTGAGAAGAACTCATCTCAGTAAAAAGATTTGCTTTGCACCCTCGATCTATATAAAGAACCCTTTGTGGCTGTTTCCAGCGGGAAAATGTTTTGCTTTTGATACAAATGTTCATTTTTCTATTTTGAAGTATTAAATCCCTTTATCTGAATGGCCATAGTTCCAGACATGTGTTCAGAGAAACACCAGTATGTTCACTCCCACTCTCAAACTGTTGTTCCTTCAGAGGAGTGTTGGGAGAAACACCGCTGAAAACGATGAAGTGACAGCAAACTGTCAAAACACAAAACTAAACACTAATTATGAAAGACGCCGATAACGACAATAATAATGATAATAATAATAGAGGGAACTGACTGCTTTTCTGAACACATGTTGATCTTTTTCAACTACAGGGGAGTGGTAGCTTCTGTTTATGTTCCCCTCTGATACAGCATGTGGTGATGTTTCGAATATGGCTATGTGCCTTAGAGTATGTTTGATAGTACTGCAGGAAGAAACTGTAAGAGAGGTAAATGTAAAAGTGAGCCCGATATAGAGTATGTGTTTCAGGGCGATATAATGTCTGCCAGTCTTATTCCCTACCAAGCCTTCTGCCACTGATTGTGAATCAGAGGTGTGAATTGGAGCAATCCTCATACTGAAATGACCTTCTCTACCCCCTTCTTTCTTTAGCTTGCATCGAACTAAAACACTTCTATTCAAGTAAGACCGATTCAGCTTCACTTTTGAGCATCACCGACAAAAGACGGATGGGGAAGAGAAGCTCATAAACTCTACGATAAAGTCATTGATTTGTCATCATATTGAAGTGTGCAGTTTACATGTCTGTGTTAAATGTGTTAACGTGGAGAGGCACGGTGGAGCAGCTGGCTTTGGCTGTCGGTCCCGCAGAGACACACGAGAGGAGGCAGAGCACACAGTATCAGCTGCACGCAGATCCCATATAACAAAAAGCTGTTAGCAGTAAAACTAATAAGCATAACATACAAAACATTCGGCAAAATAACTAAGCTCTGTTTGTTGCTGGAAATGAGACAGTAGCTGTGAAAGTGGAGGTTAAATAATAGATAGATATATCAATGAGACTTTTTATAAGACAATCTAAATAGACTTATTTTGTCAACTGATTTAGTATTGGGCATCAGCACATTTCATAGAGAGAAAGGCCTGCCATGCAAGATATATGGAAGGGTGTTAAATCTTAATATGATCTTGTATGGTTTATACTATAATATGCTGTATCAAATAAAGTGTCTCTGTCTTAACGATATTTTGGACAAAGTATGTGAGCAGAATCCCTCATTTCTACCCCAGACAAGCATCTTAAACCTACTTTTTTCTTGTTAAGGGTCACACAGTGGGAACCTATCTACACCTCTCCAACAGAAACCCACGGTAATCACACTGAATTTCAGAGATGAAGGAATTTTTATAAGGATGAGCCAAGACAAGCCGACCTACATCAAGGCGTGTGTGTTAGGTGCAGGGAGCAGGAGGAGCGAGCGGTGTGGCGGAGCAGAGGGGAGCTGATGCTGCTGCTGGATTATGTAAAGCACTCCCACAGCCCAGAAGTCGTAGAGCTGCTACGAAAGCTCAAAAGCATTTCTGAGATTCACAGTCTTTGTTAGCAGGGGGCTTAGCCATTCACACTGTGGTCCTGCTCCCACAAGATACACCCCACATGGCAGGTTGCTATGGACAACCACCGGCACATCCGCTGCCGGAATGTCTGTTTGTCTGCATGGAGGGGGGGTCGGAGTGGAATGAGAGAAATAGAAGAAAAACAGGTTGCTGGTAAGGATTCAAATTGGCTCTGACTGATGAGATTTGGCTCAGTTGAGGCTCAGTACTCTACTTCCAGCTATTTAATGCTCATACAAATAGAGCACTTAACCCTGATTCTGCTCTTATTTAGTCCAGGGACCAGACTCATACAAAAGTCTCACACCCCTTCCCCTGACCCTCTCCCTCACCTCTGCAACCTCTCCCCAGCCTTGTCTCCACTGTATGTGTGAAATTGGCTGCTGAGTCGCTCTCAGCCAAGACACCTCATCTAGACAAATAGGTTAGTTAAGCCTGCGCCTGAACTGAGGCGACTGTGATGTGGGTGCCCGCTGCAGAACACGCCAACAGGGGGGCATTAGGGAGGCTGAATGAGGAGGAAATGGACAAAGAGGGTTAGTGTGTGGGAATGTTAAAGGTGGGCTGAGACATAAAAGAAAATTGCGCCCCTCATTACATTACACTCTCATCTCATGTACAAGCTAACCTTTTCTGTGGCTTTGCTAATTAGCCTTTACTCAAGAATATCCTTCTCAAACAGAAAACCATCCACTACTGACATTCTTCCTCTATTTAGCTTCTGCCAAATGCCATGTGCTCGCCGTGCTGTAGCCCCCTCCAACAGAGCAGAATGAGTCTTCAGCCTCTGTAAGACAGGATGTCTGTGAGGAAATGACGCTGAGGTCAAGCTGAACTCTGGCACTTGTCAACCGCAAAGCAATAGTTCAGTGTTTCTGATACGTGCAATAATGAGGCTGTGATAAAATCATAATAAATAACAAACAAGCAAGCAGCTCCTGTCTTCTGCTCATCCTTCTGTGTTTACTATGAAAACTATTTTAGTGTGTGTGTTTGTGTGAGAGTGTGTGAGTGAGTCAATAAAAACTCAAAGTTCATTATCAGAGCAGATAGATCTGTCTCTTCGGTCACATTACCAGCCCCCTCGCCACCACTTTCACTCAAACTCAAACACACACACACACTCACACACACACAAACACACAAACACACAGGCTCTATTCATAGTGTATGTTGGCAAATGCTGAAAGATGTCTCTAACACTACTGCCTAATCTGTTCCCTAAGTGATGGCACTCCAATTAAACCGTTTACTGGAGTGCTCCCTGCCTCAGGACAATGAAACCAGTGTGTAGACAGTGTTCTCCTCAGGCGATAAAAACTCAGAGAAACTGCTTAACGAATGGGAAATAAGGAATATATAGATTTTTGTCAGAATCAACTGACCAAGCGATTGTTAGGGATGTTTGTCAAGAAAACAAAACAGTCTCTTTTCATTTAGTACTGCAGGTACCAAGTTTGGCCCATGTCTTATTTCTGGAAACATCACACTGCCAACAGTTACTACCTTTGAGTACTGCTGTTTTTATTACCATTTAAGCAGGTAATGACTGCCCTCTAGTGGTAGGCCCAGGTCATTAAATGAATTGGTCATTCTTAGAGCATCAACAACCAGCAACTTTCATCTTTAATTAAATCATTGAACAGCTAGCATGTTTTAGGGAGGGAATATTTACTGACCTTATTAAAACAGAGGTGTAAAACTTTATTTTTTAAATATTTAAAGACCATACTAAAATCTAAAGGTATAACATCTAGGACAGTATAAATGTTTCTTTGAGAAATATGTAGACCTTATAGAAAAACATCTATCACGGGCAGCATCTGTTTGACCAAAGATGTCATTCTGAACCAACCTATAGGTGAATTTTTTAATTAGTATCTAATTCAATTATTTATCAACTAAGGTAAAACAAACATGATGCTTTTTTATCATGATTAATCGTATGAACGTCCATAGTTATAGCAACTAATCTCAAATTAACTGCACATTTGTTTCTGATGTGAATGTCATTTAAAAGGGAGACGTGTTAAGGTTTCAATACTCTAGGAGCAGACAATTATTGCTTTTTACTAATGTATTGTTAAGTAAGTATTATTATTTCCTATTATTATCATTATTATTACAATAACTCAAAACTGTCCAGAAAAACTCTAAAATACGCAGATAGCATGACTCAGTTGGACACTACATTGTGTTGGTGTAACTAAGTACTTCTGAAGGTTGCTGCTACTGCAGTTTTATCACTTCTGGAAGTCAGCTAAGAGTCACAGCACATTGAAAAAAATCATGGCTTTTAAGTAAATAAGCACATCTTTTGACAGCCTCAGTACCAACACAACGTTTTCGAGTGAACACTCACCAACATGTACCAGTTAGAGCCCTCTAGTTCTATGCTGGTTCTGAAAGCTGTCAGTTATCAAGTTAATCGACCAAACTTGGACCAATTTTACATAAATACACCATATTTTATTTGACGTACACAGACAGTCACAATCTTCTGTCATTTCCCATGACATCCTCATTTTGAATTTATCAGCAGCAGAACGGACAGAAGAGAAGATAGCGGTTTCATATGGCTAGAGCAGAGCATTCTGTGTAAACATCTTTGGAAAATAGACGTATATTCAGTCTGGTGATGACACCACAGCTTTTTCAAAGACATTTCAGACACTACGTAGAGTGAAGTAACAGAAACAAACAAAACATCAATCAAATAGGTCCTTGTCTTACCCTGAGCTTTTCTAACAGCCTTTCCGACATTAGTTTTTATTAGAGTATTTCCAGGAAGTGTCCTTCATACACACCAGAAGCACAGTACTCTGCTTCAGGTGGGATGAATCTGTCGTACCGAGCTTTAAGGCCACCATGTTGGTGTGACTCCTCTGAACCTGGCTCAAGGTGCTCGATGTTTGTGTGTATGTACACACAAATCCAGGAACCAAAGATCTTGGAGGTGGTGGTGGTGGTCAGCTAAATGGGTTGTTTGGTTGAAGGTTTCATCTCTCCCCTCTCATCTTCTTCCTGCCTTTCTAGCTCCAAACCAATGCTTTTGAATGTGATGAGTTAAGCTGCACATGTTCAAAGTTCTCACCGTTTTTCTAAAAATGAAAGACAAACACTTTTATTACAATCAAAAACTTTTGCTACACTGAGAGATTCACAAGCACCTAAGCTGCAACTCTCACCTTAGATGCTATGGCTTTGAGTTTTCCGAGCAAAGACGGTTTTGTGTATACGACTTCATCCTCCATGTCTCCCTCGTTCTCCCCCTCCATCACAGCACAGCTGTCAGCCCCTGGCATCTCACACTCCTTATTGGCAGACATCACCAAGCGAGAGTATTTGTACTCCAACCTAGCGAAGAGAGCAGCAGTAGAATCCTTATTAAATGAATAATGGTTTCTGCACAAATAAACGATAAAAACGATTAGCAGAAAACATCCCCCAAGAGAGAGTTTCGAGGGCAGGAGTTCATGAAGAATCAAAGACAACTGGTGATCAGGGACAGGAAGGAGAAATAAAGGGAAATAGTTAGGTGGGCATGAAAAGACAAAGAAGGAGTGCAGATGAAAAAAATCGACAGGAAGGTACTTCTCTGGAAACCAGGGAGTAGTAAAAGAAAGGCAAGTTGAATTGGAAGAAAAGAAAAATAAAGAAACAACAGCACGGAGAAGTCACACTGAAGAAACGATACAGATAAAACCAGTATAACTGAAATTGTAAGAAAACTGAAAAACAAAAGATCAACCACCATAAACTCTAATGACAAACCAAGAGGTCCTTGGGTCAATTGTAAGACCAATGGCCTATACATGTAAACCCTCCTTTTAAAAGTGAACTTTCCCTTATGGTACAGAGTTAACATTAAACACAAGGACAAACATAAAAGTTGGAAAATTACAGACCAGAATCCTTAAATTTTCAAAAATTTAGAAAAGCTACTTTTTTAACACTTAGACAAAATAAATTAGAGTGAAAAGCATCATGGATTTAGGGAAACAGGACCACCATTTGCAACAGTAATGCAAACGGTGGCGAAAATAGCAAATGTAAACCAAAATAAGGAGTGCTTCACTGGTTTGTGTATTAACCTGCAGAAAGGTTACGTTACTATAAATCACAGGCATTCATAAAAAAAAAAAAAAAACTGCAGAAGATTCAGTTACGATTACGATTCAGTTGTTTTTATTTGGGTGGAAATAAATAATGCTGTGTCAGGAGTTTAGGAAGGTTGCCCCGTGGAGTACCCCAGGGATCAGTGATGGGTCCAAAACTCTTTATACTTTATATCAATGATATTTGATGTGTTACGATTTTGTGAAAGAGCATCAAATTTATTTTGTTCTGGGAAAGGTTTAAAAAAAATTACGTGTACTGTTGAAAGTAAACTGGAAGTTTACAAAACCTGGTCTGACATGAATAAATTGTCACAATAATAAGAAAACAAAATCAAAAACTTAAAAGGAAAGAAGAAAAAAAAGAGTCGAAAAAATTTCACCTTTTGTTCTTTTTCCAAAAGTAGCAGGTGAGGGAGACAAGCAGTACCGCGGTGAAGGCTCCAAGCCCTGCACCAAGCCGAACCCAGAACTCCATCCCTTCACACGGCAACGTCTTCTTTTCAGGCAGTGTTACACCTCCAATGCACAGCTTAGGCTCCGTCCACACATACAGCAGGTCCTTAAAATACAGATGATATGTAATATTAGAAATCAACACAATATCCCAGCTGCAACTCACCACAGTATTTCACTCCAAACCCAGTAAGCTTTACTCAAGAGCCACAAAAATCTGTGTTCACCTGCTGTCCTCCCTTGCACGCTCCCTCTATCTGATGGTAGTCTCTTTCTGTGCAAGTGGGACATGCTCCAGAGCTTTCCCATAAGAAATGAAAGGTGCAGCCGTCACAGGTTCCCGCAGGGCACTGACTGTAACAGCAAAGTAAAAGCTGTCTTTAGCACATCACACTCAAGACCCAGCCAGGGGTTGTAACTTTAACAACGAGCACTAACAAGAATGTCGTACCTGGGAACAGAGAGATCTTCTTTAGTGTTCCTCTCTGGGTTACAGCGCAGAGTCACCACCGCACTCCGGCCTGATTCACAAGATGAGGTTGCTTCCAAGGACCTGAGCAAAAACAAAACAAAACCAAAAAAATAAAGGTTAAAAAAAGACGGATGTGGTAAAGCTTATCAGAGAAAAAGCGAGTAGCATGTGTAATGGAAGTACCTGTAGTAGAAGTTGACATCAGGAACCTTCTTGGAGGTTTGGGGGTACAGCTCAGGTCTTGCTCTTATTCCATCAAGTATATTGTCAACCGTTGCTCCTGTTCATAAGAAATAATCAAAAAACGTAGACGCAGTTTACGATTTAAGTATTGAAACTTTTCCCCCTGATTAATTCAACTTGACATTTCATCTTCTCAGACAATGAAAGCGGTTAAAAGTCCACTGAATCCAGCCTCTACTGCTGAACACATGACTAACCAAGAAACATGTCAGCCAGGTTGATTGATTGCGAGGCGAGGGCTGTGTGGAAGCCTCGTCCGTTAGCGGGGATTATTGTTGATTGACAGATGAAGGTCTTGACAGCGTTCGATCCTTCGCCTTTCTCTCTTTGGGAGTCACCAACAGAAAGGTCAGTTACGTTGTCCGTGCATACAGCAAGCTGACCCTAATATAAGGAAGAGGGCATTGCATTCAAACACACAAGGTTCAAAAAAGGGTAGCATTTCTTGAATATGTTTGAGTTCGCGTTCAGCTCTTCTCACCGGTCCCCCGCACAGGCTGATGTTAAAGTGGTGGAAGTATTTGGTTCCTTTGGAGGTGAAGCTGGGACCGTTCATCAGAGATCCAACAGATCCAAGACCGCTAAAGTCATAGGTCAGAGTGACATTTCCTTCTGTGTGTGTGAAGTGACAGTCGCTGTAACATAACCTGTGGTCCTGTAAAAAAAACAGCAAAAAACTGGTGTATTAATAAAGTCATCAAAAGCTTCATAAAAACCATAAAAGCTAGAGTTCAGCAAACCTTATCACTCTTGCTGGCTGGTCCACAAGGCTTGCATGCATCCGGACCTGGTGTAGCGTGAGATATGAGGTGCGTGTTACGTGGACACTCAGTGCACTTGCTGGTGCTTGTGTCTATGTAATGCCCAGGTGGGCACGGCACACACGCCGAGCTGGAGGGTTGGGTGCTGAGGGCACAGGCCCGGCAGCCAGAAGACACTCCGTCGACAGCATTAGTCACAGTGATGGAGTAGATCCGCGCCACATCATTGAGATTTCTGCGGACCTGATGAGCAGAAAGACAAAAAGGGTTGAGTGTGAGCTGCAGAAATGTTGAGCTGCTGTGCGTTTACAGACGCTTATGTAAAAGTATATCAGCTTCTTACTAAGGCTTAAACACTACTCTTACATATGACTTGATGATACATTCAGTATAAGTGTACAAGATGCAGGACTGCCCTCCTTTAAAACTGCAGAATTCCTGCAGTCAGGTTTATCAAGTGACTGATTCTGGTTTCACCGCCTCTTCTGCCAATAAAGTAGAAGGCATTTGGACAGGGGGATCTGTTAACAATGTTAACTCCAGTGTGAAGTGAGCACACTGATGAGGTGGTCTGTTTGATTTGTGGTTTGGTTTTAACTCTAACGGCGCCTCAGACACTGCCTTCAATACACAACGGGAGGGAGTGATCGGTGTACTGAGTGTGGAGCAGATTTACAAGCCCAACAGAAATGTTAGTTATAGCAAATATTGATACAAATTGAAATAAGACCTATAAATCTGGTGATAAACTGAAATATTCTGCCCAGCTGTTAAAAAATGTGACATAAAGTTAAACAGCTCTTACCTCTGAAGGTTGGTTAGTTCTCTGGAAAGCCCATGTGTAAGAAACCGATGCGTTCTTCGTCATGACGTGTGTGAACGTCTGTCTTGTATTTGTTCTCTCCCAGGACTCGACCACTGTCGTGCTCTTCCTGTTTACGTCCTAAAAACCACACACGGTCATTTCATTCACCTCTAACATGAATACTGTACTGAGCTGAATACATTAGTCAGAGCTGCTCTCACCATCATAAAGTAGAGCTCGCAGTCTGCTTTGCAAACAGTTTCAAACTCAAAAGTGATGCGACCGAATTCTGTCCCGGACTGGCTGGACACAGACATGGGGAGCCTGAGGACAGAGTTAGTTTTTATAAAACAGAAACACAGACTAAATTTGAAGGTACAAGTATCAAAAACATGAATTTTTACTTGAATCCAGGAACATGGATGTTGAGGATGAGGTAATCATTGTCTGAGCTTCCTGCTCCACTTTGGATATGATCACCTGCCACCTCCCAGCCTTAAGGACAGGACAGAAATCCACATATTTAGAAACACAGACATTCAGTTAACAATGACTAAATCCACTTACTCCACATTTTTTAAACCTCCTGTGAGGAACTTTTAGTTAATGTCAACTTTGGCGCCCCCTGTAGACAAAGCACTCTTTGCTTATCTTGCCCTAAATATGCTGAAATAGCATTTTCTGACAAAAAAAATCTCATCACTCGGACTTTTCAATGTACAATTTATTATTTAATGTGGATGTTAAATGTGAAAAATGTCAAATATAAAAACTTCAGCTGCTTGGGTGACACCTACTCCCTCGCACCAGCTCCAGGCAGAGAACAATTACGATAGAAAATTACTAAACCTTCTGGCTATTGGTCTTGTCTGCTTTTGAAAACCAGGAAAAAGGTATCAATATTAATTTTAGTCATTTCATCAGGGTTAAAAACTCCTCATAGGAGCTTTAAGGAATGGCCTGACTCATCTGGACTAAAACTTGTGTTCTTGCTTAGAGTTGAACAAAACTTAAATTAGCAGCCAGTAAGTTTATCTTAGCACAAAGACAAAAAGAAGAAAGATGTTTTCAAAATCTGAAGCATTGTTGCACCATGAGGTTGGCCAAGCAACCAAGAACTTATCAGCAAAGTGTCCAGCAAAGAAACAGCTTGAGGTATGACTTGTTGTAGAGTGACCTTTGAAATTGCAAAGGCAGCTTTTTCGTGAAGTCACACTGGCTTGCCATCATATACTGCTTTTATCCCTGCTTGCTCGTGAGAAAAGTTTCAAAGATAAATACCACTCTCAGTACTCCCAGTAAACAGTTTTATGCCAGCTAGCATATTTTTGAATAATGCCTTTGTGCTAAGCTAAACCAACTATCACTGGCTTCAGAGTCATCTCTACAGGGCTGATTGTGAGTACTGGGAGCAGTATCAACCTTTAATCTTATATTTAGAAATAAAGGGAATAAGGTTTTTTTTCCCCACAATGCCGACACATTACTTCAAGAACATCAGAGGGACAACAGAGAGAGAAAAACGACAGAACCCACCGTTCATACTGTCACATTTGGAGTTGCCCACATTAAAACAGGAGGTCTTCATGTTTGCAGGAAGGATATTCCACCATTTATACTCATAACCCAGGATGGGCTCCGTGCCTGCGGGACACCGCGTACACGCTGCAAGGTGTAGTAAAAATAACGGTTAGACAAACACACAGGAAACTACAAAAGTGAAAGACAACTGGCACTTCAGAGGAAACATGAATGTCAGTACGTTTCATCCCATCAGAATAGGTCCCGGGTGGGCATGGTGAGCAGGTGGCTGTATCATTGTTGTAAAACCCGGGGTTACAAGGGGGGCAGGGCTCTCGTTCTCCACCTGGAGGCAGTGACTCAGCTCCGGCCACTCCCTCCTGGCAGATCTTAGGTTCAATCCATTTGTACATGATCTGCGTCTGAAGTAACACAAACACACGCACGGATTGAGAGTAGTCAGAAGCTGTGATTACAGAACCGGATTTCTCAGTTTACTTCATCTAGGACTCCTTGTTTTTTGACTGACCTTGCCATCTTGGTCACATGCTGTGTGGATCTGGAAATAGTCCTTCTTTGAACATGGAGGTCTTGCCCTACACACAGGTGATCCCTCCGCTTTGGAAAATGAGGATGAGACAAAATAACAACTTCAGTCTGTGACAACTGTTAAGTGTGTGTTACAAGATTTTTAAGTAGTTAGTAATAGAATAGAAAAAGTACTGAGCCCTCCAGCAGACAGTTCTGACATTGGACTAGATCTAAACACAGCAATCAAGCGTACAAATCACTAGCTCTCTCACAATCACCTCCAAAGAACATTTCCACTGGTTTGTATCATAATGATTTAAAACTGCAGGTATCAAGCCAAGTAAGAAGAATTCACTGTTGTTTTATCAAGCTTTCATTCTATTTGACAGGATTAAAATGCCATAGATGGGCAGGAAAACAGCAATCAAGATTTTTTTAGATTGAATTTTGTTTTAAACTCTTAATCTGCATTATGTGATTTTTATCCTATTTAAGTCCTAAAGTGACTAGTTTGTGTTTTATTACCTCTTTTTTATTCACTTTCTTTCATTGTTTAAATTTAAGACTGTTATTTAATTAACTTTTAACGCTTTATGAGCTTTATTATATCTTATCATGGTTTTATCGCTTTAGTCCTAGGTCCAGCGTTTCCTTCAGAGTCCTCATCTGGTCTTTTATGTGTGCATCTGTGTGTGTGAACATGTAAGTGCTGTATGTGTTGAATGGGGGTTGAGAGGGTGGGTGGGGTTCTGTATTTGTATTTATTTTACTTTATTTTATTTTATTGTTTTTAATATCCTGCTTGAATGAACAACGCTTTGTGCTTCATTTGGTGTATGAAAAGTGCTTTAAAAATGAAGTTGAATTGATTGATAGATTAAAAGTTGTAGCTTCTATCGATTTGCAAAGCTGGCCCAGCTCTAGTACACTGTGACTGCTGTACATGTAGAGATAATTTGGAGAGCATCAAAGAGGCCTTCTTACGTGCATACAGAGCGGTAGTGTTGCAGGGTGTGCAGGAGCTGGCACCATGACCTGAATAGGTGTTGCGAGGGCAGAGATCACACTTGGAGGAACCTGGGATGTGGCTGAAGGTCCCCGGTGTGCATGGAAAACACTCTGACGTGTATGCAACTCCTAGTGGATAAAGTGGCAGACAAAGCATGAGGAAATATTCCGGTTCATTTTTGATCAATCACATGATCCCATCTAGAAGGAGGACATTAGAGATGTTTGTTTCTTACCTTCTATTTGAACCTTTCTCAGTAAAACAGGCTTCACCACCTTGGCCCCCATCAGGACTCCACCTGTCCTCCAGTACAGGATGTTGGTGCCAGATTTCAGGTTCACCTACAGCACATGTGAGATCAGTGTTTATTCCCAATTACATAGCACCACATTCTTCCCACAAATACACATGTTCTGCTTAATTTGGCAATAAGAAAGGGGAAAAACTATCTTACGCTCCAAAAAGTGTCTTAACAATCTCCACGAGATTCAAAGTAATAAAGATTTAACAACCTACTGTTGTTCAAAAATTAAAAAATAAAAACCAGTGACTCATTTTACTGTGTGACTGGAAAAATACTGGAGACAATCATTTGTGGTGTGAACGTATTGTCTGTGTATTTACAGGCTTCCTGGTTGTATCCACCCCTTCCTCACTGCCTGAGGTCAACTCATTAATATACCCCAAAAAAACTCCCAAAAGCTCTGTCTCTCTCTCTCTGCATAGCTATTGTTTGCATAGGATACTTACTGTATGTGTTGCCCATTCACCATGATTGGTGAGTTTGAGCCACTTGGCATCAGAGGACTGATCCATCTCCTGGCACTGGTCATTCTGGATCTAAACCCACAACACATTTGACATTCAGCATCAAATCCTGGCTCTTTCAAAAAACAAACTGCAGATTGAATAACTCTTAAGATTCTTGAGAAAAAGAGAGAGAATAGAGTCAACAGTCATCGCAGGTTATGAATGCCATCTTGTAGCGTAAGAGCTGATTTTTCACCATTTCCAAATGCACTTTTTGGGAGAACCATTAAGTGACTGCACTGGTATTAAGAAAGTCGTAGTGGTCGATATCATTGCTTGATAGTAAAGGGATTAAAGTGCCTGAATGGATGGATGAAACTCACAAAAAACTCAAACAGCAGGTTGTTGTCTGCGTACTGGTACTCAAAGGTGACAGAGCCCTGTTTCTTCAGGTGGACTGCATAAATAAGAGAGACCGTGCACTCATCCCTGTTGGACTCCAGGTAGTTTCCTTGAGGCACCCAGGAGGAACTTCACAGAAGAAGAAAAAAAACCATGATTAATCTTTTATTAATTTCCAGGTTTCAGTTATTTCCATGTGTCATTTACAAACCTGTTACAGGTGACGGTGTCAACCCCACTAGGATTGTTTTCAAGGGAGGTTGCCAGGCTACTGAATCCAGCTGGCATGGAATCCCACTGGTCAAAGCGTATGCCGCTGCCAAGGGAGTAGCTTCCTGCCGCACATTGGGTACACTCCTGGGCAGACATCTCGAGGAACTCCCCAGCTTCACATGAGAAGGCTGGAGGATATCGAGGGGAAATATGAAGAGGAAGGATGAACAAAAAATTTGTATGCACTCAAATATTTGTTAAACTTAACCCATACATCCTGCTCCACTATGTATCCATCAGCACTTACTCTATTGAACCATTACGTCTCTCTGCACCAAATGAGGAGGGTACACAAGAACCCAGTTTTTAAAGTGAATTCAGAGGAAAGGTGGCACAACAGACAGTGCCCCCAGATGTGATCTGATGTGATTTGCTGTGGTGACAATCTCCTTTTAGAGCCATATTAGTTGCTTACAGTTAAGTTGATTAAAACAGGTTTTTCACTGTAGTATGATGCAAAAATAAGTTGTGATCTTATCCTCGACAAGGAATTCACTTGCTGTGGGGAAACAAAAGTCTGGTGTCCTTTCAGCTACAAAAATCTGAACAGGAAGAAGGAAACAAAAACTGTCAAAAGAACAAAAGGTGTCTATCTAGCAGTATCATATATTGTGTAACACGACAATAGGAAAGTGGAGGAATTTGTTTTCAAAGTCTAGGAAACTCATTTGCTATAATGAGATACTTTAAAAAATATCTTTGTCAGAAAGCACAAGCTGGCCATTATCATGCATACATACTTTCAGGTGGCAGAATCAATTTCACAACCTTTTACAAAGATTTCACCCCTGATAATCCCGAAGGTAGCGAGGTTTTATAAGGATGCATATCTTTCATATTTGTTCAAATTTCCCTCTTGACACCATGCTTGACTCTGGCCATAAGTGAAGGGGTGTTGCAACAGCGTATGATGAACCCTTTGTGGGGACCTCTGACAATGGACAACTAGTCTGTCCACCTTTTTAAACATAAGTGCACTTCTACACGTTAAAAGCCCATCCTCTTGGTTCTATTGCTCTTGTCCTTTACCAGCTGTACATTAGCAGAGTGGTTTCCATAGTAACCTGTGATTATTTGGGCCTCTGACTAACTTTGTCTCCTTAACAGCAGCATAAACAGATGTTCAATCTTTTTATCTTGTGAGTGTAAAATCCCAAAGCTCACTGAGCAAGCTTCTTCATGGTGACAGAGGTGAGTATTTAAAATCCCTCTGCTTGACTTCACTATTAGTCCAACATGGCTCTTAATGATCTAGCTATGCAGCAGAGGCTCATTTTGTGATTGTGTATCCAAGTGTACCCAAACAGGATCAGTCAGTCTGCTGGGCTTGAAATTCCAAGCCACTGATAAGAAAGTGAGATACACACATCAACAATCACTCTCTTACACATACAGACTTACTGCATTCAGTGCCTCGTACTGGCTCTGGCAGTCCAGTGCAGGCCCCAGGGGTTTGTGGGATGGCCACTCTCCAACGAGATCCCGTGCTATCACATTCTGTGTACTGATAGTAGTAGTCCGTCTGCAAATAATACATGACACGCACACAAATAAAGAAAGGTGAGTAAACCTCAGATATGAGAGGCCTGGGTGTGCATCATGACATTCTTGGTGAGCGTGTTTTACTAATCAGAGCAGTAAATGAATGCTGCCACCAAGGCTGAAATTAACTTCCATTTCCAGCTGCTCCAAGCATGACCGCTTGTTATCTCTCGGGCCACAGCCACTCTGGTTCCCCGGATACACAACATACCATCTCCACGGCGATGGGAACAGAGGGTGATAGAAGCAGTGGGCTGCTGGTAACAAGCAGAGGCTTTTTACCAGCAGCTTTAGTTTTCTACACTTTCAGAAGGACCATTTGACCATTTTATACAATGTTGTCGTCTGAGAGTATTTTAATCTGTAATCCTGAAGTGAAATCATTTTTTTTTTAATGTTTCCACTTCCTCTGAGCTTCTTCCCATTCTTTCGGTTTAGAGAAGAGGCGGCCTCATTTCTGACAATTTATATAATATTGCTCTTCGAGCCAAACCAGATTTTAACACCGCAGTGCATGCCGGCTATTGTGCGTGGAACGATTTCACGGCTGTCTATGGGTTTGTGACAATGCAGAATTACACGGATTATACATGGCAAGAGAGAGGAGGCTGAGATGAGAACAAAATTAGACTCATTGCTTTAACCTCACAGCAGCAGTGATGCAAGACATGATGAATTTATGGTTTTCTACTGAACTCTGCTGCACTTCATTATCTGTTGTGACTGTTACATTCACACAATGATAAAGCCATAGACTTTCTAATCTGGGGTGCATTTTGTGTGATTTTACACCCAGTTAACTAGCACAATTATTATCCTAATCTGTTGATCTGTTCTCCTCCAACCTTTTCATGGTGCAAGTACACAAACACATAAATTATGGAGGGGAGAAATATTGTATTCAAATGGTTAAAAGTATGGAAAGCTTTGACAACCTCTTACTTAGATGTGCAGCAACCAGTTGTTTTCTGAGATACAGATCACAGCCTGCCTGACTTTTATTTGTTAATCAAACAGTAAAAAGACAAAGGATGACTACTGGAGTTACTGGTGTAACACAGCAGCACCCAATTACCTCTGTGGTTGCTTTTGTTATCCTCTTGCAGCAAATTAATTTAGCATAAGACACGCCTTAACCTGGAAGCTACTCAAATTTCTTTGCCAGTATGAATACAAAGATTGTGCCAATAATTTAGGAATGTAGCTCCACTACTTCAGGACAGTCAGCTTGTGACTCTGCTGTCAGCCAAGGAGGTGTTGAGTAGAGTCTGAACAGAGGGAAGGAAAAGCTAGTCCATGCAGGAAACTGATAACAGCCTGGACAACACTGACTGGTGAAGTTTAACACACACCAGACCTCATTAGTGATTCATGCTCCTCCATGTTGTTTACATTTTTTTTCCTTTCAGAGAAAACAAACTGCTGCCACTTATTGTGAGGGTATGATATTTATATTCAACAACGTATCGGCTCAGAAATATGTCATCAATACTCAACATATTTGATCAGATTATCTCTTTATCAGTGAATTCATTGCAGCCAAATCACAGTCATACAGTCCTTATCAGTGCTCATATAAACTAAGCAGTGAGGAGACATTTGGATTGAACCATTTCAGGTCGATTGTGGCATCTCTCACCTCGCTACACTGCCGCTGTCCTTTATCCCCGTCAATCAGCCTGAGCGTGCAGAGGAGGATGAGGAGAGCGCAACTGGAGACGAACCGAACCAACGACCGCATCATGAATTATTATGGAGGGAGGAGGGGAGGAGGGGATAAATGCGAAAACCAAGATCCAGGCGAGGCGGTTGTACCATAAATTTGCTTCAGATGAAAGCTCGGTCAGACACGGATCGACACCTGCTCCTGTCGCCTCTTGTCGGCAGATTGTCACCCTTTAACCACCTGCGATTATCCTCAGTCAGAGCGCCTCATCATAAACAAGCTAGGCAGGGTAGAAGTGTACTTCCGGTTAGAGTTTTCAAAGTAAAATATTGCATGCGCAGATCAACGGCTTTTCCTCAACCAAGTTCATTTTTTCACGACTATACTTTTACAATTACTGTGCAGTTACTTTGTTTATATGTAAATTTGATCCTTACCATGCAACTACGAGTTCATATTGTAAAAACTTACCCTTTAATACTTTATTTTGAAGAAAGAATTGTAATAGTGCTGGTTAATTTCCTAAAAGTGCTTTCTCACTTGACGCAGCTATACGTGCGTTTTTTGCCACCGGCTGTGACGCGGCTATGACGTCTCCAGAGGCCAAAAAAATAACCTAAATGTTGTTAGAGTTATATTAGTCGAGGCAATGCAATGCAAAAAAAGATTATATTATTAGCCTTATATAAGAGCTACGTTAAAGATGATGACATTGAGTGCTAAATGCAACATTACAGTTTTAATGAAGGATATTCTGGTTTTTAATCAGTTTGCGATGAAGTCACTGTGAGAATTGACGCTGAGAGACAACCGAGCTTTTTTTAATTATCATTTTTTAGAGCTTTGGTACGGCGAGGTCTTTGACCGCCAGGGGGCAGCAGTGCATTTTAACAGTCTATGTGTTTGTGCCTAAACTGGGTTATTTACGGTAACATACATAATTTACTAGTTTACTCAGAAACACTGTTAGCTGTAATGTTTGACCGCTAGTTTACCAGCCAGCTTTGGTGCTCCTTCACGGGACATGCCCGAGGTTGTTTTTTTTTTGTGCAGGGAAAAACATGGCAAAATGAGAATTTTCTAAATCTCACATGATTGGAAAAGGATCTGACTGTCAGAGTGGTGCCTGACAGTGAGTTTTAGTTTTTGCTCTAATTATTAGCTATTGATCTGACCAAGTCAACAGCAACCATAACAAGACAAGTGCCATAATTTTAATAAGAGCATTTTATAATATAGTCAATTTAATTTTTTCATTTTTATTATGTTGAAATAGAGGTTCCTGACAAAGTCAAAAAGTCTTGATGCAAAAAAGCTCATTTAAGTGGTTCTTTTAAGCATTTAAATATCTCTGTAGACCCTAACACAGGAGGAAAGTTAAACAAGAAAGTTAAAGCTAAAAGAAACGCAAAGTGGGTGATGGAAAAGGCGTTTTTGAGAGCTATAAACTGCTTTTTCAGAGACTTTCTTATGTCGTGTCAAGGTGGTGGCAAGTTCCTAAATAGAGAGTGCGCACTATATCTCTGTTTACATCCCGAAACAAAGGACCTCATGCATGTTTTATTTTCACAACTTGGTTCAATTTGTCAGCAGGGGTATGTTACAGTCACAACACAAAGGTAAACTGAATGGCAGAGATCTGGGTGTTCATAACAGGGTTTGTTTCTCATGACAAGAGAGGAGAGAAACATTGTCTTGTTCACTCAAGGCCTCAGTGAAATATTTCTATAGTAAACAGATATTTTACTTTTACTCTTTGAAGTAGGATATCTTTAAGCTTTATTTATATATGGTAGGCTATATCTTACACGTGAATCTTCCACCACACTGTTTGTTTTTTTAAGACACAATTCATTTCATTTCACTGACTGTAGTCTGAAGCAGAAGCACAAATCTAGTGGACCTCTTGTGGATGATTAGTGTCTTTCTGCATTGGGTGTGTCACAACTGAAATCCAGTGTGGGGGGTAGGGCCACCTGGGTCCTGCTGTAACTTCATTTTTTGACAAGACCACATGTTTTTTTTTTAAGTAATATAATGAAATTTGAGCTGTCTGTATGATATTTTTTTCTAAGAGCCTTCTTTATTGTTAGACACAATTTAATGTCAAGTAAACATTTGGTGTTGTTGTTTTTTTCCAGATATCCTTGCACAGTTTTCAGGATGTGTACTCCTCGCTACTTAAAATACTAACTGCACTTTGTCACATATGCTACCATATAGATTACCAGGTATTTACATGGTTTATATAGTGGGGTACACCGTTGAGTGTATAAATGTGAACCTGTAACTTGAAAAGGCAAGTGCTTGTTGAGTAAACACTCCATATCTAGTAGAGGTCTCCAAGGTGGCAGGAAAACCCATAACACGCTCTGTTTTTTGCTTCAGTGCTTCATTTGATATTGTCTTATAAAAAATACATATCAGCCATGACCAGCCTGGATAAACTATTGATGCAAGTCTGCTTTATGTGATTGTATGAATATTTAAGAAGCCATCACCCAAGGGCAGCTGAGTTTCTCCTGTGAAATGGCAGGTCTCTCTCTCTCTCTCTCTCTCTCTCTCTCTCTCTGCCTCACTTGTCTGCTCTCTCTCTCTCCCTTTCTCTTTCCCATCAGAAGCCTATCACTTACAGGTGTTTGCCTGTAACTGGAGCCCTCATATTCATCCATCTGTAACACCCCAATAACCTTTACACTCTAAGCCACTGCTCTGTGATCAGGTGAGTTCATTAATTAATTGTAGTGAAGTGTAGGGCAAGTGTATTAGCAACTGACCCTGAATCAGATGGTAACCCGAGTCCTTACAGCCCAAACCGAGCCTCCAAATTTGCAACACACCAGGGACTACCTGGTCAAGAAATGAGACACCCTGTTGACACACTAACACTGGGACTCTCACATAGGTTGTCAGGGAGGCAGACAAAGCAGACTATGAATTGCTCAAGACAGGGTAAGTCTTCTCTGTAAAATAGAAACCTGGCTGAGAATCATTTTCCTGTGATAGAGACAATGATGTGATGACAGATCGGCACACTGACAGCAAGAGTCTGGACTTTTAAGGTCAGGTCTACAACTTTACCTCTGCAGCTGGACAAGGTGACATTTTTTGCTATGGACATCATGCGGAAGTGTAGGACAGCTTTTGAGAGCTTTTGTCGGCATGGATCAAATTTAACATCTTCCCCGGATGAAGAGATATTTTTATTTCATATATTACTCTACATATGAGGAAACTCAGCTCACACTTAGAGCATTTGCCCTGAACATATCTAATGTGACAGACATAATCCTACATGAGTCTGTTATGAAGCTACTCCGGAAGAACTCCTGGATATTGATCCCTTCTTTAGGAAACTCCAGATGCACCTAATGTCAGCTTATTTAGGATTTTTTACATTCTCTCTTTGGATCATTTTTGAATTTCCCAGTATGCACGGACTACCCTGTTCCTCTTTGGGCCACTGTTTTGGAAATCCATCTGATGTCAATACTGATCCAGGACCTGCTCAGGAGGAGTCAAACAACTCCCAACAAAGCAGAAATACCCACAGACCTTCAGCAGGAGACATAGTTATTTCCCAGCCTGAAGCTCACCGCGTTATCCTCCATGAGCAGCAGCACAAAGACGCTCAAAGGACAGTCAGCTGTATCTCCAACCACTCCACCAGGGCCAGTAAAGTAAATGGTACCAACTCCATAACCATCAGCCACCCACAGGATACGGATGACAACAAGAGCTTTGAAGAGTCCCCTTCACCATATTGTAGCCCATCCCAGAGCTCAGAGGATGAAGAGCTGGAGTTTGAATGTAGTCCAGAGCTAGAATTGAAACATCCTCAAATTCCCAGACCTTCCATTATCATCAGACAGCCAAAAGTAAGAGGACAATGGTTGCTTATTTTTGTTTCCAACAGTAGAGGGAAACTAAGTGTATTTCCTCAAGTATTATGTTTGAATTGAAGCAAATATTTTTTTTAAAATTCTACTTATTTGTTGTTTTTGTAGTTTTATGATATTACTTAACAGCTTGATTAAAAGGCCGGCTGATGTTGAAGCCATAGACTGCATTAAATCATGGATAGCAGAGCAACCACTCTGAGTGATGTTAAAACTACAGAATAAGAACTGCCTCTTGTGACCAGCTGCTGTTAAGGTCTTAAAGCCCACCACTTCCATTATAACCAATGAAACATTAGTCAAACTGGAAAATTAAATGCTCTTCAGACAGATTTTTCCTCTGACATACCATCATTGCAGTTAGTTCTTGACATACTTTGTTACTCACAGGTAAAGTTTTGGTAAAGTTCAGTTATAGAGGAAAGTGTATATAATAACTTTATAGCAAAATGTATCTGAGAGATTTGGGAATACTGGATATAAAAGTTGAGAAGAAACAGTGAGAAAAATGTCGCCAACCCTAACACTAGAGTAGCTGAATTTCAACCAAAGAATCTGTTCTGCTGCGCACGGTGCCAACCAGGGAGTTTTTTTGCCAACCATATCTCTTGGCAAGTAGGCCTTGGCTCCATAAATCCATCAGCACCTATGAAAGCAGTATTTTGGCTTCACTTTTCACAATAAACAGATTAAGGCATGCTGTCCATTTTTATGTACAGTCAGTGGTTGAGCTCCAACAGATGTTCAGTTGCTGTCAGGATTTACTTTTGGGTGACTAAAACCTGGACGACTGAGAACTTTTACAGACCTAACTAACACCTCACCACACATTGGATATTGTAACTATTTTATATACTGAAATGATAGAGTTTAAAGCGATTATAGTGGGTATTCAGCTTTTAGGGTACTTTCACTCTGCACAGGTCTGTGCACGTATTTATTTATTCATCTGTTTTTGATCAGAACAACACTTGTAGACATTGTTACATCCAATTACAGAATTGTTACCAATTTTTGTATTTTTATCTACTTTTCTAAGAATGAAAGGCTTAATAACTATTTTCCCCTTTTTAAATTTTCATTATTTCCATGTCTCTGTAGTAGGCCTTCGTTCTAATATTTAGCATCAGCAGTTTGCTGTGGATGAAATGCAATGCATTTTTATCTCCACAAGGGGGACATAAAACACAAATTGTCACTCAAACACTCAGTGTGTGTGTAAGCAGACAATGATCTCCTTCTCTCAGGATTTAATTCTTAAATATCCCATCTGAGTTCAACAAAATCTTCTTATCAATGAGAAGTAAAAGCTGTGAGACTTAAAACACACACTAACCAACACACACACTGTGGTCAGAGTGTTCATGGCTGATAGGA